AGAAAGATCGTTTGAGTGAGGGGTTAAGGAATCCATCTTTGTTGGAAAACCCATCTCTCAACAGAGGAGGTGGTCTTGGACATAACCTTCCACCTACAAAACACTTTTAGGAACAATATCCAGAGGATTCACCTCCTACCTGCCCCCACCTGACTCACATTTCAATGAGGTATGTGAGCGAAACTGCTCTGACAAGGGTTCTTGACGACCCATCAGAACCCCCTAATGACCATTAATAAACCCATGTGACCTCCTTGGCCCATCTAGTGGCAGGTTTTAAAAGACTTGTCTTTTTCAAATGACATTTGAATTGAGAAAGCTTCCTGGAGAGGTGGCGAAACGTCTTCAAACTTTCGAAACCAAGTCCAGTGGATTTTTTTGAACTTTTACGGAAAAAGTATCTTGTATGAGAGGCAAAACATCTTCTAGAAAACTTAACGTTGAGTTGCCTAGACTGAAATAAAAAATATCAAATCCAACACAGTATCTTTACAGGACACAATGGCACAATGCAAAAAAGAAAAAAAAAGGGTCATGCAGTTTGAACTGCTCAGTTCTCTTTCTCTTTGTCCTCATTTTTCATTTTTAGATCTTTTCATTTCCTATTTTTTTACTCTTTGCCTCATTAATTTCACACGAGAGAACAATTTTACTGTTTTATAGATACCCTCTAACGTCGTGTACCTCTGTTGTAAATGTGATGTTATTTTAATATTTCATAGAGTCGTTTTCATGAGTTTTATTAATCTCCAAATGGCTTCCTGTTCTCGTGATTAATAACTGGTTCTGTTGTTTCATTTATTTAAAGTTGCAACTGTATTTCAGTGGACTTTTGTGTTTATGACATAAAATGTATCGTATTACGTCTCTTGGACTTACAGCTCTTTATTTACATTTCATCTGCTTTTCATTTCGTTTTTCTTTTCATCTCGAACTACAGCAACAGCCAACAACCATTTTCATCCTGTTTTTATGGCCATCTTTACCAATAATTAAAGAGAATAGTGCATCTTTAAGAAAACAACAGATCAACGATCTTAGCGATAAGCCATCCTTGTTCAAGAGATGTAGCTCAGTTAAAATGTTAAATTGCAGCAGGAAAATATGCATCATCTAACCTTCTGCTTTAGTGCTGGTTTTGATTCTTGTAGCACTCACTATACAAGCTGAGTCCACCTCCTGACACCCTGTGTTGCTGACATGCGAGTGGAAATTGATGTTTTGTCTCGGATGGAGCTCCTTCCTCTCACTGCAGGCAGGTGAGACTCCACAGACCTCTTTAACCCCGGTGCTCACTTCGCCAGAGGCCTTCAGCTACACTCTCTGCACTCACTATTCAGAAAAAAATGGAGAGGTTACTGTAAGGTCAAGTTTTCCTGTTGATCAGTTTTTCCCAAACTTTATAGAAAACATTTCGATGAGCAACTAGTAGGAAAAAAAAATAAAAACATGGAAAATAAACACAACTGTGACGGATTCTTTCTGATTTGATTGTCTTTCAGCAGATTTTAAATGAAGCACAGCTCTAAGAGAAAAATTATCTTGTAAAAGATTCAAGCTCTATTGATAAAGTTGAATTTGTGTTTTTTGTTGTTGTTGCTTTAATCATGCTGGCCCAAGGAAAAGCTACACTAAGCCAACGCCTGCAAATAATATAAGTTGATGAGTTGGCTTTCCCTGCCAAATAAACCAATTAGGAGCGCAGAGTGGAAGCAGCCCTGAAAAATGTTGGGGGTACGAGGGAAGCTCAGCTTGCTCCATGGCAAATTTCAGTTTCAGTTTTTTTTTTCTTCAACCTCTCAGAGACACTTATGTCTCCAAAGACCCCAATGAGGCCATCCGAGCGCCGCAGGGGGTCAAAATCTGTTTTCATTTGGATACAGAACTTTGCAAACAAAAAAGGAATATTATCAGTGTAATAACAAAACTATGTATCCTTTATATTAGTAAGCTGTGCCTTTCAGGGAAATTTGAACAATTTCATAAGATGGTAATAGATAGCCCATTTTTCTGTTTGCAAAATATGACAAATGTTCGCAGATATTGTCACATAAATTAGTCACATCTGATTTTTTTTTTTTTGTTCCAGAACGTTTCCAAAGTTACTACTTAATACTTTCAAACTGCTGGGAGGAACAACGTGTACTTTTCTTAATTTGTTCCTGAGTTGTTAATGTAAGCTGTTTTAGATGGAACATGTCTACCCCCTGCTGGTTATTCTATGAACTGCAACCAATGTTTATGTGATTCCAGCTTCTTTTCACCGTTTGAATTTAACATATTCTTTGACATCTTGAGAAACTTTTTTCGTCTATGTAAAACAACTTATCAGACGAAACAGTTTACATCATTTCCGTTTTCCATAAGATATTGTGGATATTTTAAATATCCCAGAGCTTTATGTCAGACAGAAGCCAGTAAATATCTTTAGAATATTTTAATTAATCTGTTTAAATAAATAATAAAATAATAAATAAATCTATAAACCTGTATTTTGGCTAATTTACATCAAGATGGCATTAATTTCACTGAATTAGCAGCATACTTGTAAGCTCAGCTCATCAGTATAAGGGCTGCTCGCTGTGTCTCTGTTCTTTGTGTCATCTTTAACTCCTTATTAAGGATATATTAGTCAATAAAGGAAATAAACAATTGGATTAGTACTCTTCTCATTCATCCGGATTTCTCTGCTTAAAAAAGGCTTCCCTGTGTTTAGATAAACAGATATGTAGTTTCAGATTAGTGTAGTAATAAGTTGTGATTGTGTTTGAAAGAAGAAGAAAAACAAGCAAGTCAACTCTTGTTTTCAGGCATATTTAATTGGCACATGAAATTAAACACATTACAAAGTATTCAGTGCTCCAAAATGACAAGCATGGGGCCACCAAATGGAACTCAAAAGAAAAAGTGCAAAAACACACCATTTGGTAGGTCTCATAAAGGAAAAAAGAAGTCTTACTAGTCAAAGCAAATAAATCTGTGGTAAGACTGTCCATAGTTGAAATAGTCGTTTTCCTTTATTTTTTTTATTTATTTATCTTTTTTATTAAAGTCATATATTCTCTCTCTAATATCAACGTATCACATCCTCTGTACAGGCGATTCAAAGGCCTAAAAGATTTGGGGTGAGGCAGATCGCTGCAGTAAATCTGCTTCACTCTCATTGTTTATCACAAAAAATAACAAAGCCAGAGAAAGTTGACATCTGATGAGATGGGGGGGTGGAAGCGTATTTATAGCCCTGCAAATTCGTCATTTTCTCCATCATAAGTGATCATTGTTTTCAGCACCTCTCCATACGAGAATTGTTCATGAAAATCTGCACTGAACAGAACACAACAGAGTGGTATTGTTGGGTTTTTTGTTTTTTTTTTCCTGCAGAGAAGTCATTTAGGTGGGATGAGTAAAAACAACAGAATATTTTAACAACAACAAAATCGAGGAAAAACAAAGAATATCAAAGAAATGAATCAAATAAAAAAGGTTCAAATCTTGTTCACTATGTGCCTTCAAATGTAGGTAAAGAGTCGTAGTCTTCTAGTTTGAGTTAGGCATGGGCTGATATAACTTTCTGGTTTACCTTTCTAAAACAGTATCAAGGAATAAAGATTTTAAATTAAAAAGCAGCCTGTAAACTACCTGCTCTTGTTTAAATACCCCCTTTCTAATTTTTTTCTATGTATACCCCTTTGTCATGTTGCTGGTGAAGATTCTCAGTCATCCTGGTCATTGTCATTCTTTAATTTTCTTTGTTTGGAACCCCCTTGTCACAGACTAAGATTACATGCTACAGGAAATTGGCCATTATTCTACTGCCTATTGTATTGAACTGGCTCTTGTGTGTCGCGGTTATAATGTGTGATGTTTGGCTCATGTTTGCATTGCTAAAGAATGGATAAAACCACAGATGAAATGTCACACTGCCAACCCCAAAAAATAGCATTAACCAGACTCCAGCTCTGCTCTGCTGTCTTCCCTAATGAAGATTTACCTAAAATTAAATAAATGGTTTCATTTTATTGCAAACGAATTCATTAAATCATTTTATCACCACTTGGTTAGACTCTTATAGCTCTGAAATATTATTATTTCCAGATGGTCTTCTGATTCCAATATATGCATAAGTACCAAATCAGCACATTCAATCCCAATAGACATCACCAATGCATCAAAGTAGTGACTTTTTCTGTAAAATCCTCTCTTTTGCACATTCTAAATATCCTAACTACACCAGGGAGCGTAATCACCGATCCTTCCTCCCAGCAGCTGTAAGACTCTATAGCCATCCTTGTTCCCAACAACCTCAATAATGTGTTACATTTATGCTGATTTTTGCACAATCAGTTAAATAACATGCTGCTGCCATTTTTGCACATCTCTGGTGTCACTGCTTTTTTTCCCACATATCCATTACTGTAAAAATGTCCACCGTTATACATTGATTATTTATTCTCCTGATGCACAGTATTTATATTGGTAAAACACTGTACAGTACAGTATTTAAATTGTTTATTTTCTTTACTCTTGTCACTTATTTTGTAATTTTTATACACTTTTTTTAAGGTCAACATCTGTGTGACTACTTTTGCTATAATTTTTTGCTGCTGTAACACCACAATTTCCCCATTGTGGGACAATAACTGAATTTTGTATTCTAGGAACCCTGTAATGTTTTTTGTTTCTTTCTTTTAGGAAACAGTTTCTTTATTCAAAATTTTTGTTGCTAAAAACAGTTGAACTGATCCTTTCCGTGGGTGTGATTAAAAACACAGTAGTTATCTTTCTGTCAGCTGATTAAAGGTGTGCAGCAGGGGATGGAGTTGTCTAAATGATCATTAAACCTAAAGAGAACTCCAATGACTTTGGTATTTCAAATTAATTTAAACATCGAAATATATCAGAAGATTAAGGTATTTTGCAAACCAGTATCCAGCCCATGCCTAAACACACTGATGATATTAACAAACTCTGACCACATCTTTTTTTTTTTTTTTTTGTCCCAAGTGGTTAAGGCTCAAATCAGGTGATGATCTGCATGTTGTCACACTTCAGTCTCAGAAAAATGTTCATCACAGTACATTTTCATTTACAGTAGAAACAGGGTTCTGTTTTTCTGGAGTAGCCAAAAACCACGCTGAGACATTCCTCACAGGGTAATGAACTGTAAACTAACCACAAGTCGCGTTAAGCTTTACAAACGAATGGTAAAAGAAATGCAAAAGACGTCTGTGACTGATGAATGTGTAAGATCAGTCAAAAAAAACAACATCATGGCTCCCTATCGTCCTCATCTGTGATTAAACTTTGGAGCGAAGGGAGGAGGAAACGATCACATATTTGCAGTTAAATACAAGGAGACATGCTTCTGAACAAACAAGACAAAAGAAATGTACATAAATATAAAAAAACACACAGGCACTGAACCCAAACAGTAGCATTCAGGTTAATTTAAACAGTGTGACCAGGCAATGAGGGTTAACTGAACAGAAAGGCTGGAGGCAGCAGCAGCAGGACGGAGAGAGGTGGGAGCGTAAGCCGCCTCTCCCAGCCGCCAGCAGAGGGGGGCGAGGAGGAGGACAGGGCAAGCATGCACCACACCACACGCCCCGAGCCGTTGCCAATTGAGAGGGAGGGGAAAGAGAAACAAGAGGAAGCAGCTGTGGGACAGGTAGGCTGAGCTACCTGAGGGGGGCGGGAAGGAGAGTAGGGAAAGGGTGTGGTCAGAGAGAGGAACGGACACCAGTGACAGGACAGGGATTTATTTTGGATGAGAGTGATGGGAGGAAACGGATCCATGTCCTCCAACCGATCCTGGATATCTGGGAATAATGACGGTGAACATTGACACAAACAGTGGAACAAATAAGCAGAAACACGAAAAGCAAAGATGATTCCTTCAGTTTTGGCTCAGATGAGAGCTGAAAATGATGGCCTGTTGTTGGTGTTGTTTGTTTTTTTTTCTTTTGAGTGACTTGTGAAGGTGATGCTTTCACAAATGAAACTGGGATGATTTCTTTTTTCCAAACCGATGGAAACACACACAGCTTCCTTCAGCTATGTTGACGTTCCCGGCGCCTCCTTCAGCTCCTCTGTCCTCTTTCTGACCACACACTCTCCAATACTTGTGAGCATCACAAGGATTAGAGGGAAAAATAACAGAAAAAAACAGGGCAGCAGGGGGGGAATAAGAGCGAGGATGCCAGACAGCTTCTTCAATGCCGCAAGCAAGGTTAGTGACATTAAGAAGCAAGGCTCTGCTGTAGAACCAGGAGCAAGATGGTGTGCTGTCCCGTGAGCGGGGAGTTAAAATGGAGAATGTTAGGAGAGCCAGAACTGATCTCTTTGTTCAGCGGAGAAAGCTCAACGCTGCCGATAATTACTTTTGCCAAAATGTTTGTGAATTTCAGCCGCCTTCCTATCATCCATCGCTCTCTCTCTCTCAGATATTGTTTTTTTAAGATTCAGCCCATCTGTCACTTTCTCGCACGGTGGTTTACTCCGAGGCTGCTTGCCCTGCCATCCCTCAGCCAGCCTCTCGCTTTTAGGAATCTGTAATTTAGAAGGAGAATACACACAAACGGACAAAAATAAAAAATAAAAAATGAACAAAAGGAGGAAAACAATTAGTCATAAAGAAACTCAGGAAAACCCAGAATATTTCAATACGGACAGAAAGGCTGTGGGATTTGTGTCTCTGCATAAAGTAACACTATAGCGGTAAATGTAGCCTTACTCACCACCCTTCAGCTATTCCACATTCTTACATTACAAACACAAACCAGGATTATTTTGTTGGGATTTTAATGCATGAATGTGCATAATTGTGAGTTGGACGGAAAAAATAAATCTCATGATCATAATAACTTTTGATATTTTTTGCGCTATAAAACTTTCAAAATCAATTGTTACAGTATTTAGATAGGAATACAGTATACTGTATTTTCAATTAACCACCAACTGACAGAGCAATCTCAGCAGGTGGAAAATAACATTTAACCAATTAGCCTTGAGTACAAAAAAAGAAACTGTCTCTCAATGGGGCATATTTGTTTAAAACAAGCTTATTTTTATTAAGTGAAGTTACTCACAATGAATGGAGAAGCCAGACATTATACTCAAGTAAAAGCAAAAAGTACAATGCTTTAAAACTGCTCCTAAAAGTGAATGTGACTATGTGATTAATAGTAACTAGTTACTACCCACCTCTGCTCTCAAGTCTTCAGTAAAAGCCTGAAATACAGGAATATCTTAACCTGTTGAAGGCTGCATAAGACTTGAGGCTGGTGGTGTGGAGGGCAGAGCTACAGTAACACCATAAATCAAAGCACAGCTGTGTGTTAAAATGGCCTAGTCAAAGTACAGACCCGAATCAACTGAGAATCTCTAGCAAGGCTTGAACATTGAAGCTCTAAAATTTAGCCAAAATGAGATGAAGCTATTTTGTAAAGAGAATTAATAAAAATGTTTATAAGAAGTACTTTAAAAAGCTTCAAATACATTGTAGAAAAACACAAATCTATTTCACCAAAACTAGATTCCTGTGTTCTAATTCATTAATTTCCTTCCACTTCACAATTATGCACTAGTTTATGTCTTAAAAACTTTTTAACAGGATAAAATGTGGGGGGAAAAAACAACAACAAAGAGGTATGACTGTTTTAACAAGGCACTGTATGTGTGTAATCAACCAGAAATATAATCTTAGAGCCACAATCCTCCCAGATTATTAAACTAGAGGAGCAACTGCACTTTGTCACAACTTTCCTACTTCCAAGTCATGACCAGACCTTCAAGGATGCCGCAGCATGCAACACTTCAAACACTCTCTGGTAAAAGCTGTAACACAGCTGACTAAAGCTGAAATAAGGTCTTTGAACTTATCTGTGAAATAGTAAGTTTGTCTTGTAGCAGTAAATATTTAGTGGCAGTGAAGCTGAATGACTGAAGTGTGTTGATAGAAAAACCCATGCAAGACACTGCAGAGCCTCAAAAAGTCACATCTCAGCCCAGTCTCACCGTAGAGCTCAGAGAAGCTTATTTCTCTTTCCGTTATTCCTTTACCACTGGCCTGGAAAAAAGATCCAGAACAGGCCAACAATTTCATTATCAAAAAGTGAATCGAAAAGATGGAAAAAGAGGGAAAATAAATGCTTTATAAAATCAACCCTAATAGGGGACAATAATTACTGATGCAGTAGTATCTCTAACATTGAAAGCATGCGACATTATAGAGCTGAGGTCACCGATTTTATTTTGCCTACAAAAGTTACGCGAGACGCAATATTAATACAGCAGATCTAAACAGCATTTTATGTGATTGCACATTGAGCATATTTATCTTAGAAGTGCAAAATGTTACAAAACTCATGATTTTGACTTTTATTGTGATCAGATCTTTAACACTGTTAGTTTAAGTTGATCTTTACAATCTGACATTTAAAGATAATAAAGAAGATCAAGAGGTTGTGTTTGAGTGTCAGTGACTGATTTGTCCCGGAGCTTGACTGAAGGTTGCGACTCATGTTGCGTTGCGTGGCCACTAGGTGGCGGTGCAGTGAAGGGTTGTGCTGTGAGCCTGTCCTTAGGGTCTTCACATGCTAACCATCTGCACAGTTTGCATGTGAGAAACGTCAACCAAGTGCTTTGCTCACACTCCAACTCCCTGCAATAACTGTCATGAGGCACAGCTGACAAATCTGATTGGTCCGTCCCTCTACAGAGACAGGAAGTGTATCTTTTCAGGCCACTAATAATCTCTAATCTCTGACCCAGTCATTTAGTGAATGGAAACGTTCTGATTTGGGTAACAAAAAAAAAACCTTGTCATAGGGTGAACTTTCTGGGTTAAATGTACGTCATAGCACCTTTGGCGTTTGGTTCCAAATTGACCTCGATGTAAGATGTTGGGACGTATCCCTCTTCCTCTTCGTTCCTCCGAACCCGTGTCCAGCCGTCTCCTTTGTCTTCCTCTATGACGTACAACAGCTCACCCTCCGCCACGGCAATGGTGCCCTCGTTATGACCTGCGCAAGGAGGAAAGCAGAGCCGAAGTCAGGGAAATGGCAACTAACACTAACTATAAACTGATTCACAATAATTCTTGTAAATCAAATTTGCAACAAAAAAAAAAGAAGTAACAGTAAAAGGAAACCATTAAACTACCATTCATAAACTTAGGTCAACATAACATAGATCTCTATATTTATGAGATAAGAGCAAAACTAAACTGGGTTCAGCCTGCAATAAAACGGCATCACATCCACCTGCTCAGTCATGCAAGGTGAAGCCTGTCAGAGCCGATTCATCTCACATCAGCGTCACATTCCTAAAGGCTGTTAGAGTAAAACTCATGTTTAGGAGCTGAGAACAGTCAGAGCTAATTGTTTGAAATCAAGAAACAAAAGTTTTTTTACCCCAAGAAAGTTTTTTTTTTCTAAATTTCTTTAGTCTTGATCACCATCCATGATGTCACGGATTAGGATGTTTAGCAGTAGAACATTACAGTTAGTGCATTTTTGTGAGGAAGAATGTAAGGTTCTCTATTTCCAAATGAAAATCTGAACAGTGTGGCCGTGCATCTATGTTCAAAAAGCTAAAACATCCTGTCAAGGATCAACTTTGCATATAAAAAAACTTGTTTATCTGTTCTTCCTCAGTTTGCCATGTATTCTTAATTTGATTTGGGTCTGGACTTTGACTGGACCGTTCTAAATAACAATACGCTTTGATTTTAATCAGAGGTCTTCAACATGGAGGTGGTTTTTTTCCCCCTTGTGGCTCAATTTTTCACTTCATGTGTCATATTAACATGAAAATAAAAACTGCTTAAATAATCATTTAAAATACTTTCATGCTTTATTCATACAAGTGCCAAAAGCTGCGTTAAGATCTGATAACTGTGGAGTTACTCAACATTTCATTTTTTTCAAAATATTTGTTGTTTTAACCAGTTAAATATTAAACAGCACCTTCTACCTATAGAAGTAATAAAAACCAGGTCTTTTTTTGGCAGAGTTTGAATTGATGGACATTTTTTGGTAAATCGGTAGGGTTACCATAACGCTGCTTTAATAATCTCCACAACTTTGTCCCTTGCCTGCTTGGTCTTTGTAATGTTACTAATGTTCTCAAACATTCTACTGATGCGTCACAGAATGGATTTAGCTGAGGTTAAACCAAACTCAGGAAACCTGTCTAGTTTCCTATCTAGTATAGGCACTACTTCCTGGTGCTCCGCCACATAAAACCAGACAGAATACTTTAGAAATAATGAAAGATGAATTGAAATGAATTTTTCCACAATCCATTGGACATTTTCAAGTAGGGCTGCAACCAATGATTATTATGCTAACCCATTAATTTGTCTGTTATTGTTTTTTCAATGAACAGCAAATGGGTCATATAGAAGACTGTTTACAGAATTTCAAATCAGGTGAAACTAAAACTTTTCTGGCTAGAGCATTTGGCAGACGAAACTTTTAAAAAAATCATAAATACAAAATATTTATATATCTTTTATACAAGATTGATATAATTACTGCTCTAAATGGGTTTCTCTCCCAGTTAAGGGCATGTTATAGGGTCTCTATACTCCATTTAACTATTAATCAATGACTAAATTAGTTGACGATTATTTCAATAATCGATTAATCCGATTAATTGTTTCAGCCCTAATTTCAACCTTTTAAAAAGCTATAGCAGAGATGCTCTTTAAAACTGAGAGAGAACAGGTTGATTTGAATTAAAGTAAAGAACCTCAGAACAGTTGGAAAGCAGAATATTTGGGAGGCATCAAAGGTAAGCCTAATGTGTGATGCACATGTGCCGTTGGCATGAAGACAAAACATCTCCCTTAAGTCCGCTTTTTTTATTATAAAGGCCTAAAGTCAGTTAGCTGTTCAGAATCCTGTGGGACCGAATCCTGCAGACGAAGAGGGCTTCTCTTTTACTCTTTTGAAGAGTTTAACTCCTTTCTTTGACTTTCTTGGATGTAAGTAATCCATCCTTTACCAAGCATGATATTCAATGATCATTGCACCAACCAGCTCAGGACAGTTTGCAAATATTAGCAGAAAAAGAGGAAGAGAGAAACACACTTCCACAGAAGCGTCCCGACCTAAGCTGCCTGAATCGAAGGAATCGTGCTTTTCCACATCCTTTTTAACTCAGATCATTTCCTAAAATCCTGGCCTTTCACAGCTTCTAACCATAACTGCTCAGAAAATATGTGAAACTGGCTATCTACCTTCAAAGGGGTACAGAGCTTTGCAGGTGCCGATAGTGGGCAGGGTGTCGTCGTCGTCGAATTCCTCGTCAAAATCCGGCATGGTGCTGGGGATGGTGTTGGGGTTGATGATTGCTTTGACCTGAGTTTCTGAGTTCTGCTCCTCCGTGTAGCTGCCATCCGGGCTGCTCAGGGACCAACACACACATTAAACATACAGTGAAAACACAAGCAGTTTCCATCCAATATAAGAAGGTGTGTGGCAGTTGCTTGTAGATTTCCCCAGCACTGATGTTTGCCTGAGTATACCATACCTCTCTCTGTCCTGTGCACAGTTGTTGCTCACAGCTGTGTTGCTCTGGGCCTCATAAAATCCACTCCTGCGGTTTGAATCGCTCTTGGAAGGCATCTTCTCCTCTACTTCCGCTAGCCAACCCTGAAATAGAAGCAGTTTTCAAACCTACAGAACTGCACTAAGAAGAGGACAAACTCCATAAATATAAGGCAAAGCTGGTAAGAGATGTGAAGCTTGCCATACTTTTGTGACTTTCTTTTTTTTTTTGTAAAAGATGTTATTGATGTTCTGTATGTCCTGCTTTGTGTTGCTCTATTTAATACACAACCCTTTTAAAATTACCAAAATTTTCAGTGTGCACTTTTCAATACTCTTGTAGTGCACTGAATTAGTCCAGTCAACTTAACATTTATTAAAAGTCCCTTCGGCAAATATTGCAGGACATCTGCAGGACCGCTTCATCTGCATCAGCATCTTGTCCTAATATGTCCTTTCTCTTTTGCACTTATGAGCACCTCATTGCTAACTGTTGTGAATTTACAAACATCCCCTCTCTGCCAACATTAACATTCACGGCGCATCTGGCTCTAAACTAACCTCAAACTTCTGCACTTCAGCCTGGAGCTTCTCGATGTTTTGGCCTATTTCCGCTAGCCGGGGGTCCACGCTGGCCGGGTCTCCCATCTGGGGATTTTTCACGTACACATCTTTCATCTTAGTTAGTGCATCCCTAGGAAGAAGCAGGTTCATGAAAGTCATTATTGCATGAATAAAATAGGGAAAAAACAATGACTGTTTTGAATCAAGGTGGCAAATAAACACCTCTGGTCCATTTCTTTATGAATATCTTTGTTGAGGTCATCGATCTTGCCTTGCAGCTTCTTCCTCCTCTGCTCTGGGGGCAGATGACTGAAGTCCTCTGGTCCCGATCCCTATGAGGAGGGAAAAAAGGAGACAAAAAAGAAAAGGGAATACATAAAATCTGTAAGAATGGAGTAACATTGATAGCGTATAACTTCATAGTAAGCTTATCTATTTAGATGCAGTATCTCCATTTACCAAACACCAGATAAGTCAATAGCTAATAAACGGATTAGATTCATCCTGTTACACAGATCAGTAAAGGAGATACTGCAGCCACTCTTTAAAACACTGAAAACTAAACATGAGAAGTTTGTCTGCAAAGTCTTGAGGCCTTTCACCCGTTCAGTCGTCACACCTAATCTAGCACGTTCTGCCAGAAGTGGTATATACTGAGTTAGTGTGAGTAAGCTAATGAGTTTGAAGCGGAGTGATTCATCTCTGGCAGGACTGATTGTCCCTGATTTGGAGGTTTAGGGAGTTTAAAAGCTGGTTTGACTGTTTCCAGTCTGAATTCCTGCACTAAATGAGTCAGACTGATCAATCTGTCAAACTTTCACATTTCTGCGGTTTTATTTTATAAGCTTTATGAACCCAGGAAAAGCACATGAAGCTTCAAAATAAAACCTCATACTGCAAAAATGCAGTATGAGGTTTAATTTAATTAAGTAATTTTTCTTTAGAAGTGTATTCTATCTTGCTTTGAGCAGTTAGATAAGACAATTTGCCAGAATAAGGGGATTTAGGTTCAAAATTAAAAAAACTAAACAATTTTGTGCATCATATCTAAATATCCTATTATGAGGCCATAAATACAAATACATTCAGCAGAAGTTATTTAGCTGCTCAAAATAAAGGCTAATGCACCTATTTAAAGAATATTTTTACTTTTTTTAATCAGGCTTTGCGGTGCAACCAACCCCACCCCACCCCCCCCTTTCTTTTTTTTTTTTTTTTTACAGATTACTGATAGCCTGTTGTTTCTGTTTAAAATATAATGTTCTTGATCACATTTAACATTGTTATTTTCTAAGACACTGAATTTCCATTATCTATAGGTTACAATTATTAGTTTTAAAGAATAAAGCCTTAGAAAATATTTCACTATGTGTATAATGAAACCTTAGTTTCATTATACACACTACATCATTTCAAGTTTGGACATTTTATCTTTTCTTTTTTTTTTGTTTACATGCAAGTTAAAATCCAATTCAGGTCATTTTTGCATGTTGATCTTTCTAAGTCACGAAATGGCCACAAGGGACCAGGCCAGAAGAGGAGCCATGCATATTTTACTATATTTTACTACCACGCCTCGCTGGCTGATGTTAAACCGGGTTAGAAGAAAAAAAATCCCCTAAGCTCTATGTCAGAAAATGGATGCAAAGACAAGCTTATCAACGTAAATTGGAATCATAGGCTGGATATTTAGAACGATAAAATATATTTTAAAAGACTCTTCTAAATACAGTATGAAGGTGGATCTGTGATTTTGATTGGCTAATTATCTTCTAAAGGTCCTGAATCTTTGTTAAAAGTTCCATAAGATTGAACTTTACCAGTAAACTGAAAATGGGTCACCATTCGTATGATCATTAATAATTCTTTACTTATATATTTTTTATGCTTATAAGGTTTCAATAATGTTGCCAGTCAATTCATGATTAGTAATATGTAACCTTTTAAATTCTAAATCAGGAAACTACTTAGAATTATATATTAATATATATATTTTTTTTTATTTTTTTTTTTTGGTGCTTCAGTTTTCTGACTGTAGGATCTGCTGCTGCCTGTGTGGACTGAAGAGGTGAAGGCCTGCAGTAGATCGCTCTCAGACAGCTGGGGCTACACACTGGAGGTCAGTAATAGCTATTGTTAACATGGGAACCTTACCCTTTCTCCCCGTATCACCATGCAACACTTAACCCGACATGCAACATAACAAACATCTGTCAGTCGTCATGCAGGGATATCGTACGTCTTCATCAGTGACAAGCTCAGGAATCAGAGTTCAGATATCTTAGATGTGCAACAGATAAAAAATGCAATTATCTACAGTATAATTATGTGCTGATTGTGTAGATAGACATTTATTCATCTGTGTTTTTGTGGACTGAACAACTGATTCTACTGTTTCTACTTGAAATCAACCAACCTACATAAAAGTTACAGAAACTGGACTTTTAAAGTCAGCTTAAAGGAGGATATAACCCTTTTTGGGGGGGAATTATATTCTCATGACTCCTTGGTGTCACATTTTAACATATAGAAACTTTGTTCTCTTCACACATCAGGCCAAATATTGAAGTTAAACCTAATGCTGCCTCAGTATAGAGGTTCAGTCTCCTAAGTGTAAATAATCTGGTTCATTATGTTCCAGTCATGGACAAAAAGGGGAATTCCTTAAAAAGACATTTGTGACTTTTAACAGGTAATTAAAAAGGGCTGTACAAATGATCCAATTGTTTTTTGTTTTTTTTTTACTACAAACCTTTGAATTATGGTTTGATTGGAACCAACTTTTAGTTTGGATTGTTGATCAGGTCAACTTTCATCCAGACAATGAACATTTTGTCTTTTTTTTATATATATATACTAAACAGCGGAATTCAGAAATTACAGATTTAAGTCTTGCGTATGACTGTTCCATTCTAACCAGTTATAGTTTGATTTAAACCCCACTATCGCAGGAAGTCATCATCCTGCTGGAAGCTAACTTTCTGCACCAGTTATGCTTCATTCAGGCTCTGGCAGGGTTTGTTTTAGGTTTGCCTTATCCACCCAGTATTATTCCCCTACACCTTCATCCCCAGCACATCTGAAGCACTTCTTTTAAATAAAGATGTTTGCTTTCTAATGTTTTCCACCAAAACTTTAACACCATCATAAAAAATCTAGATTTATAACTAAATTAAAATGACAAACTTTGAATTCTAAAGACAATATTTTACACCAGATTATACTTGGAGATATTTGTTTAGAGAGGGCTAAAAACTTCAGAATTTTGGTATCTTTTTCACTCTAAGTTACTAAGTCAAAACCTTATGTTGGTCTATTGCATAAAAAGCTAATAAAAATAAAGTTTATAGCTGGATTTCAAATGAAAAAGTGTGGTTTAATTGTTCACCCACTTCAAGTTTCCTACAATGTTGTGACTCACTGCCTGTTTTATGATGGTGCATTCAAATGTGACACAAAGGCAGCAAAGTGTCATGGTGGACTTAATATATTCATCATATAAAGATGGAGCCAAAGAGAACATCAAATAAAGATTAGCTATTCCCCAAAGCTGTTTATCTAGTCCAAAAACAGTGTTTAGTTAACAGAAATATTCAAATCAGATCCGTTTTCTTCATTAGCATGCCCACTAAGTCATTGGTTTCTTATGTTAGCATCACAAAAAAGGATTCTAAATTTTAAAAAAGTACCAGCATGCAGTGTGAGAACATCAGACAACACCATCTACTTCCAGTCAGATTAGTATTTGTTATGAAGATCAACAATTTTGCTGGAGACGGAACGGATTACAGGACAGAGAGACATGTAAAAACATCGAGTAAATCTGATCACCTCAATGAGACTCCGGACGTGGGAGTTGAGTGTGATCTGCACCACACAGATCACAGACACACGTTTGGGAGAGACAGGACGAGAACACAACCACAACGTGAACAAAAACAAACAAACAAACAAAAAAACAACAAAAAAAGCACACAGGTGACATAAATCTCAGGTTCACTGGTATGTCAAAGCAAATAAATTACACAATTAAGATATATTTAAAGCAAAAAAAAAAAGAGCAAAACGAACATACAAAACACTATTAACACTTGTTACTGGGAGGGAGGGGATGACATGCGTGCTTCGGTCGTGCCTATAAAGGGACATGCAGTCATACGGTCATGCTTACCAGCTTGAGAGAAAGCTTCATGGGAAGGGAGGGGGGGGACAGTAGATAAAAGTGGTGCGGAGCAGGAAGGGAGAAAGAGACAACAGATAACAGTCAGCACCATGTGAAACATTACAGCTAGTTCTTCTCCGAAAAAACCAAACAACAAAAAAAAAAAACACTTTACCTTCATTACATAATAAAGCTCTAATTTTCAGACTTCACCCAATGAGGGAAAGAGAGTACAGCGCCGACATGGAGCAAAGGATTTAGATTTACTGAAAACACTGTTGGGCCATAAATAAGCTCTTTCATTAACTATTCGGATTATAAATCCCCTCCTCTCTTTCCCAAAGAGGTGAAGTTTAACATCCGTGACATGAGGGATTAATGAAACATGAGGAAAAATAAGGAAGCCCACCTACAGCATGAAGCATGGAGGGTGAGATCAACTCAAAGTGGTGACAGACGAAGGAAAAGGCAGAGAAAAGAAGTGAACAGAGGTGAAGAGATGTTTTTTATTTTTATTTCTCTGTCACGTTCCACTGCTGATATTGTGACACAAATGGGGCAGCAGATGGCGACAAAAGCCAATGTTCACATGACATGGAGGCTGAAGAGAAGTTTTTTTTAAACAGTTTTTTTTTTGTAAAGAAAGGAATGATTATGAACTTGAATTGGCGAGCCGCAAAATAAAAAGCTGATGGTTTGGTAAAAAGATTAAAGAAACTTGTTTTTTTTTTTGCATGACTGATTGGTTTTTAAGCATATCTTTTTGGACAGGAAGAGCTGAGATCTGGATAACAACCATTGGCTGGTAGAGCTGGAGCAGATGACTCTTAATCCTGTTACTGGCTCACAGACTCGTGCAATGACGAGCTCCACTCTCATTAGTCCACTAATCAAGTCAACCACCTGGAACGCGCCTCGCTACAAGGCCCGGGGAGACTCACCTCAACCTCAAACATACGCTTAGAGATTTCAGAATGCCATACATGCGATAAGGTGTATGTGCATGTTAAAACTTTAGTAGAAAAACGTCCACAGTGGCAGTGAGTTGCATTTATTATGTCATTATTAGCATAAATCTATTATTCTAAGGCTTTTAAACATGCATTTTGCAAGGGGGAAATATTCTACAACCAAATAATTCAACCAATTAATCAATAAAATGCATATTCATTTAAATTGTTCAAAACTTTCTCTAATTGGGTCTTTTAATAGACAACACGACTCAAATTAACTCATAAAAATAAAGCTGCAGGGACACACATGCTTTTAATTATAAAATCAGATGTTTGACCTCTGTTCTAATCTAAAATAGAGATCAATAAAATGGTTGGTTTTCCTTGTAAGGGATCGTCTTTTACAGAAAGTCTCAGATAGGGTTTAAGTCGCTATCTTCCAGGAGGCTAATATCAGCGTGTCTGATTCAAAACTTAACTTGAAGCATGTTTCAGGATCCTTGTCAGGAATCCTGCTTTCAACCATCTGACCCAAACTGCTATCTTCGCATGAAAGGAGATGGATTCAGAAAAATCCTTCTACTTGCGAGGCTATCATCAACTGGAAGAGATGGAAACACCAAATTCACTGTTTCCTTCTAAATGAGTTCAGCATCAACATGGAGTTGAAAGGTGCAGATAAAGAAGGAACCCTATGCTTTTAAATACTGTTAAGCTAAATGGAAACTGTTTGCTTCAGATGTAAAAAAGAAAATTGCATTTTTATGGTTAATAAAAACAACGTCTACATTTCCAGTCAATATTTTGGCCAAAGTAAAGAAAGAAAGACAAAGCTAAGAACACAGCACCTGCTGACAAGCATGGTGGTGGCAGCATGATGCTGAGGGTCTGCTTCCCTGTCACTGGTACTGGTAAATTTTTTAAACAGGATTTAATGACGTCAGAAGATTAACTGAAATTCCCTAACTTTCTCTTAAATCCACACTTAAAAGATTAAAGGTTGACAGAAGCCTTTTGATGGTATGTTTGTTCAACATCTTGCTTGGCGACTTTTATCCAAAATCTAGTCCTCATCTATCAGTCTATTGAAGCCTATATGTGTAATTTCCACATTGTGAATTAAAGAAAATGCAGTCATGTTTTTGAACTACACAGAAAAAGATAAAAAAAAAAAGAAAAGATGGCCTCACTGGAAATGGAAATTTGTAGTTTTTTTTGGCAGTTAACAGCCTTAGTTCTTGCAGACCTACAATATGCCTCGATTGTTCATAGGTGGCATAGATTTGCTGAATGTTGCCAAAAGATGATAAAACCTATTAAATCTTAAAACTTTACTTAGGTTATCATGCTATCGTGGGAGCTACAACTATAAGCAATGAGTGAGAAATCTAAATTTGCATGGAGTGCTGGTTTATCTTAAATACAGACACAGATAAACAGGTAAAACAGGTTTTTTTGATAGACAGAAAGCAAGTATGGGAGACAGGCACACAGAAAGCCCAGGAGGGGTGAATTATTGGCACTGTAGGGCTGACACCGATCCAAAGTGTGACTAACACCTTGTCCAAACATGCACCTCCACAGGACGTTTATTTAACAAGCATTTATGATTCCTGAGCAGCATGGCAGTAGCCACGCATCCTCACATCCACATTCTCCTGCATCTCGGATGCTTGAGACACTTTGTGAATTGAGCCCTTTTGCAGATGGAGAGCAGGGGTGGGGGGGGAGCCCTGAGACGGCTGCAGGACACTGCGAAAACCTCAAGCCGATAACATGTGATGAGGGATGAGATCACCATCTTCTCCGATCATTCCTCTCCATCCTGACACGTGACACAGCCATGGGATGAACACGGAGCCAGACACAGACACTAGCCTCCTTTGTGAGGTTGTTTCGCCTCATTAATCAGGACCAACAGCATCCTCACATCACAAATGAAGAGGCTACTGCCTGCCTTTAAAACAAGCCTTACTAATCACTCATTCACTCTTTGCTGCAAACACATATAAAAGTGCTGTGATACTCACTGTCTCCTTGCACAAACTCACACACACACACTTACAACATATTGTCTTGCTTCGAAAGCATATGTGGGTTGACCCAGAGTCCTCTTCATAAGCTCTTTGTGATAAATGAGCGAACGCGGGGACTGCTGCTGTGGTGGCAGTCAGAGAAAGTAGAGCTTAAAGTCAGGAAAACAAGATCTTACACTGTCTGCTGCCTTATTAGATGGCTCCTAAAACACAGACACCTGCGCTTCCTGTTCCAACAGCAACACGCATGCAGTGACAACGAATAGCTTAAAATGCAACAAACAGAGGCTCTCCTGCAGGGGGTTCACGTCTTTCCACTGTGCACAACTATCCACCTCCACAGGCACTTTAATCAGTGTAATACTGTGTTCTCCTTGCAGGAAGCAGGCAGAGAAACATAACAGCTCTAATAGATTTTTTATATAAGCTTAAAACATTGATTGATACTGGAAGTAGGTCTTTAATTTTCTCTACAAAGGTTTCTTTGGAATAACCAAAATTCATGAAAATAAAAGAAAATAACTTATTTGATATAAACAGTCAGACAAATGTGACACGTATAAGATAGCAGAAGGAATGGATGGATTGACAAATGATAATTAACATTTAGGTAATGTTCGGCATGGATCTACACCCTCTCATCATTAAGCTAATCTAATTAGCGATATCAAATCAATATAATCGAATCAGATACAAAATATGATTTACATGGCTGCCTTCTGTTAATCTTTAGTGAGGAACTGACTTTCTAAGAGGAAACAGAAATTTGCTTGTTCTCATTTTGTCACATTGGAGCCACACACCTTGTGTTTAAGTTCTTTGTCAGAGGAAGACAAATTAGCAGATAAGGATTTTTCTTAGAAACTTCTAGCAATAAATTTGACCTGTATTTGTATTCAGTTCCTCTAAATGAGCCTTACAAGCAGAATATTAAATAGTTATTCAAGCATTGGCTTCTTCAAGAGTCCGTTAATGAAACTCATCAATTCACCTGCCTAAACACAGCATTATTGTCTGCAGGGTGAGCTGCACCCAATCACAAAAGTTTTTCCATGTCATTCAACCCTTAGAGAACGTTTTAAGATGGCGACTCTGACTTTTAGGGCTTTAATTAGTCAAGCATTGTTACACATCTCAGAACTTTTATATCTGTATGTCCCTGGCAGGTCCCGTAGTTATGTAAAATTTTCTTTAACATATCTAGTTTGATGTACTGTTGTATAACGTCTTTAGTTTTTTCAGTGCAGCCTTAAATGTAGAGGTGCACCGATCCAGTTTTTATTCTGATCCAAACCAATACCGATACCTGGGAGGAAAGTATCAGCCGAAAGCGATCTAATTCAACTGTTGAATGGGTGAACCATATATCTTGACATGTGGGTAAAGACTTTAGCCTTGACATAAATATTGTAATAAGGGTAACACATGTACAAAGATATAAATATACTTTATGTAAAATGCACTGGATTGTATCTCTGGCATCCTTATCAAATCCCTGATATCCGATCCAGATATCAGATCAGTGCATCTCTGTTTAACTGGTGTTATATAAATTCTGATTTAGCTAAATCACTTCCTCAGAAGCTCCCTACATAAAACACAAATCATTTCTTTGGAAGTTAACTAAGCAATAAAAGGTATTTAGCTACAGTTGTAAGTGGTAGAATCATTCTGTGGGAGTGATTTATTAAGATACATAAATTCTGATCCCTTTCAGCAAAGAAACTCTATTAAAGGTTGCAATCTGGCTAAAGGTTCACACTATGGTTCCAGAGTAGCTAACCAGAGTCAATATTATAATATGCAAATGTGCAAAATGAAAGTCGCGTGACATGGATGCAATAAATATGGAAATTAGGAAATGATTTGGCTTGTTTGAAGGACTGTTACCAAATAAAAACCTGTTATAGATTTTAGTAATTGAGGGAAGCTCTAGAAGCACTGGGAAACAAAAGGAAGGAGGAAAAAGTGGATGAATCAAAACTAATGTTATGCTGTTTTTACAATTTTATGATTTTTGCAATTATCATTTTGGAAAGGAAACTTTGAATCCAGACTAAATTTATATAAAATTCTGTGGGAAGGCTTTAAAAATGTGTGTCATGGGTAATTTTTATTCCACCTAACAAAGATTTGTTTTTAACAAAACTGGCAAAACATTGAATCTTTATAGTATGTGACAAATGGGTAAAGTCATTAAAAGTATGACTCAAATAATCCCAAATGCATACAGATGAGAGCAAATATTCATTTACAGGCACTTTACAATAATCCACTGTGTGCTGGTTTATTATGGAAACGTTAAAAAAAATAAACCAGTTTTTGACTTAAGGTGACAAAACGTAAAACAAGTTGTATTGGTCTTTTGCATGGTAATGTAGGTGATTCTTCTAATAGCAGCAAACAGGAAGTGTGCTGAAATGTGTAGCTGTTAAGAAATATTAGCACAGTCTGCAGCTGAAACCTATAAGGCTCCTTCAAAGGCTTGTTTAAAGACTTTAAGCATTTTTATGCAAATACTTCCCCAAATAGAAGTTCTTTGAAAAGTAAAAATGTCTCAGTTCTGCTTCAATCTACATTTAGAAAAAGATAAATGCCACTAAATGAGAAACTTCTTTCCTTCAGCTTCACTCCACGACACGCTTCAGCCTGCTACGACATATAAATCACAGGTTAAACTCCAATATCTCTAAGGTGCCTAACAGTTTGAAGCATATGCATGTGATATGTCTCTGATCCGTTTTTAAATCTTTCTTCTCAAGAGACTGTTGCAGCACTTCCGCTTTAAGAACAAAAAAAAAAAACGTGCGCTTCCTGCTGTATGTGTCCAGAGAATGAAAAACGACACACTTCCCTGTTCTCTGCGTTCCCCATCATCATTTCCTCCTCAATATTACACTCTAACGGGGCTGTTTCTGTCTTCTTCTGTGTTTGCACCAAGTTAATTTTTTTTACAGTGGGTAAATGCTGCCCTTTTGAAATCATTGAACACAAAATAAAACTCGACAATTGTTTGCCCGGAAGGAACATAGCTAGTGACCGCCTGTTCCTGAGGTCAGGGAGAGCTGGATATGGGAGGGGGGGTACTGGCAGTAACGTAAGCTGTGACCTTCCCCAGTGACTGTCACCCAGCATCTCCATTACAACCCATACTGGGACTGTAGAACAGGAACTGGCGCTGACATAAAGCAGGACACAGGGCTGGTGCTGATAAAACCACCCACCGCACAGAGTTTTTTAACCCCCCCTGTCCATTTTCCATCACTTGACTCTTATCTTGAGCTTGTAATCCCTTTCTTTGTGCTTTCTCTACCGTATCACATGCATCAAAAACAAAAACAGTGACAGTATGGCTCCAGTATAGACTGCAGGGGGAGGAGCATACAGGGGGACTACTGCAGTCTCCATGCTACTGCCTGGAACTGGTGGCGTTTTGCATATTCTGGGCAAGGGAGGAGGGGATAGGTGAGTGGGTCTGTCATTGTGAGCATGGTTAATATGGAAAGTAAAGGGGACAAAATGAAGAGACTGCTGGTGAGTCAGATGAGAGACGTGGAGTCATAAATATGCACCACAGAAGCACGCAAGTGAAGCAGAAAAGCTGAGCACTGCATGACAGAAGCTGACAGGCCTGCTAGATCGACTGTCTCAGTTAATTACTGGGTTTTAATATTCACTCAAAAGTGTTTTTTAAATAAAGATAACGTGCAGGACTGACAGATTTAATATTGGCAGAAAAAAGCTGCAGCGGTTTGCAAATGTGTTTAAACCCTTTGAACTTTTTCACAGTTTAACTGGCAGAACTCTAAACCACGACATGTTTCATTTTATGTTTTATTTATTTCAGACCAACACAGGGTTTAATAGACATAAAGGATATATCTATAGCTGTCATTGTATCGGTAATATGCAGCTGCTCAACGTGATTCGGTGCCTTTTTGTGCAATGACACCATGGAGATGGCGTTAGCTAAGTGTGACATTTTGTCTGATCTGATATTTTAGATTAGCAGTTCTTCTGGAATTGTCTTTTAATTCATGTTTGTCAAATTTAAAGGAGAAGAAAATTTAAACAGAGCCCTTTCAAGCTCTTTTCAAACCGTTTCTCACTTGGGTGGTCGCAAGAGTTTGACTTGTGCATGTGGGCAAGTTTTAACACACGTTTTAACATTAATGAGTCAGATTTCCGGGTGATGACTCCTTTAAGTTTGACTCTGCACGAAGGTCAATAAGTTCCACTTTTTATCTATATGTCTGCGGTGTCCCCTGGTTAGTAGGGTGTACTTCTTGCTACTCTGCATGGAAGAACCTGACCTGTTGCTCTAATTAATTCTTCCTTGGATCGGCTTCTCTTTTTGCCATGCCAGTTGTTTCATACATGCCACACCTCAGAGAACCTTCCCAATACTCACCCTGATCTATCTATTGTGTTATTTGATGCTGAGGATGCTGTATCTTTAGTACACTGCAAAAAAAGATCTAGAAATAAGTAAAAATGTTGTAAATTAAGTGTATTTAGCTTTAATTCGATCAGGTTAATAAGAGGATTTGCCGACTTTTAGTCTTTTAGATTCTTTTTTATTCTGACATGTCTTCAGAATAACCTGTAACAGAACAGAATAATAATTCTTGGTCTGTTACAAAAAAAATCAAATGAAGCAGAGGTTCAAAGGTTTTGAACATTGTGCAATGTGTAGTTAATGATGATCGTTTTTAGGCTTCAGGCCTTTTTTGAAAGACAAAGGCTTCTTCATGCAGTGCTGCAGGTGCAGAGCTCAGGTACAGGTGCTGGACACACACTCATATACACATGCACAAAGCTTGCTGGACACGCACTTACCCCTCGCCTCAGGCTCCGGAGGCAGTGCATTTTGGGTTTGGAGGCCATGAAGTCGTTGAGGCGGTGGGAGAGGGGCTCCTTGTGCTGCTTGGGAGACTGGGGGTCGTTGGGAACAGCAGAGGGTGAGGGCAGGGTTGAGGCTGGGGGGGCAGGTGGGGGCTGACGGGGGGACGTTAACAGGGACATAAGCTACCAGTGTGAGAGGGAGCCGATTTGGAAAGGAGGGAGGAAGAAAAACATGGAAGAAAAAGAAGGGGGCAGGAATCCAACCAAAAATGACAAAGGAGGAAAAGGAGGAGGGAACACAAAACGAAATAAATAAGCCTCCTACGAATATTAAAAAATGAAACACACAACAGAAAAAGCCAAACAGAACATAAGACAACCAAAGGAATGCCAAACCTAGTGTATGAGTGCTTATGATGTCGAAACAAAAAAAACGGTTAAAACATATGAAAGAAAAGACAGTTAAAAAGAACAAAACCACCAGCGTGAGCTTAGGGTACAAAATGTGTTAAAGCAAGCGGCTGCAACGAAGCAAAAAGCACATGCTGGATTCCATTTTAGAGATCCAACTCCACTCTTTTGTTCAATCTAGAGGATTAATTCACCTCATCCCAAAGGAAATCTGTCACTGAATATCAGGCCATCAGCACACTGTGCCAGTTACCTACAGTACTTCTATCTTAAAACCTCAGAACACAACGTCTGGCTCCGATGGGAGACAATGAGGCAGAGACAAGAGTTCTCGACACAACAGTGCACATGCAAAGACAAATTATTTAGACAGGCCATTTACTGTATTTCTAATAAATAAGAGCAAACTACAGATCAGTTGAGTGTGTGTTACTCCTGCAGCGTTTGAATTAGTGATGCATAGAAAATTCATTTGGCGAACTGAAAAAGCTGATTGCTAAGAGCTGACTGAAATGTATGCTTACAGGCTAAAAACACTGACATGATTACATGAAGTCTGATGGAGAACAAACACAAGTTATTTAATAGAAAATTGTATTTTTTATTAGAGGAATCTTGGGGCATTCATTTATGCTGCTACTCAAAGAGAGACCAATACTTTCAGTGGATAACAGGAAGGCTGAGAATATTACAGAAAACCTCTGGTCTTCTAATCCTATAGAGCCTTAATTTCTATCATAAATACTGGATTTACTGTTGAAATGATGATGTGTTTAGCAAACTGTCGATTAAAGATAATCCACATTCTCTATTGATCACATAGAGCTTCCACTTACTGATGCTAACCACGATCATTATCTCTCTAATGCACATTGTGTGATATCACTTCTGCTTTTAAAATAAATAGTTAATGTCAGCTCAGAAAACAAATGAACCCTTGTTGTTATTTCATCTAAAGATGAATCAAAATCCCCTAAGTTTATTTAGCAGATCTATGCTTTACAAATACTGGACATTCACCTAAAAAACTCCAACTGCTGCATCAATAGTAACATAGTAACTATATTTGTCTTTTTTTTTAGCAATGTATTTGTCCCCTTGACATTATTTTCCTCTCTCAAATACACAATAACTCACTTACAGGCTTAAATAATTCAATTTCAATAGTGCTCCCAGCCCACCAGACAGCCAAAGGTCAGTTTTAGAGTTCATAAACCGGAACCTGAGAAAAGCTGCTTGAAACTGAAGACCAGTCAGTGAAAACAAAATAAAAGGTTAAAAGAAGTGAGTTACTTCGGATCAGACAGCGGGTTATCATCTGCCAGTTGAATCCGCCCATTCAGCCAAGATAGAAATCCATTAGAATGTGTTATAAAAAGGGAGGCCCCGACATCAGTGAGGGAGATTGCGTGGGAGGAGAAAACGGGTGGCAAATAATAACAACCAAAATGGCAACAGTAACAAAGAACTACAAAACAAAATGTCAAGAGCTACAAAAATACTAAACGAAGATTAAAAAAAGCTGTAATTAAATAATAGACTTGTCAAATCAGAATATTCTAGTGTAATTTAACAACTATGAGATTCCTCTAGTGATCTAATTCACAAAATGCCTCTAAAAGAGCAGGGTGACCTGCATCAGATGCTAATTAAAACGGATGAGGCTCTGATTGTGACCGTAGCTCACATCAGGTGTTTATCTGTGCATTACCTTGTTCTTCTTAATGAAAGGCCACAGTTTGGGCTTGCTTTTGCTTGAAGACTTCTCTTTGCCCTCTTTGGAGTTAGACAGGCTGTTTTCAGATACCGTCCTCTTCATGGCCTGACTGTAGTCTTCAAACTCCACATCGCCTGGGGGCTCGAAGCCCGACTTATAGGCCTCTACCACCTGCTTGGAGTCCTGGTGGGACAAAGCGGAGGGAAAAGACAATGGAAGTTAGATATGTGGCAAGATTCTCAGTCATCCAGGTCATGGTCAAGTTTGAAACACTTCAGTCTAGGCAACTATGTGAAGTTTTCTAGAAGACATATCGCCTTTCATCCAAGAGGCGTCTTCGGTTGTAACTAGTGGTGGAGAGCACTGAGAGTAATAGGTCTAACAAAGAATTAGGGGGGCAAAAGGTGGCTTTGATACCTGCCACTGCATTGGCCAAGGAGGTAAGGTGGGGCGTGTTAATGGTCGTTAGGGGACTACTTAAAAACATTATCCAGAAGTTAGATGTTTAGAAATGAATAGCAGAATTCAGATATTTCCACAGCAATCCTGATTATTTTTATTGAATTGCATTTTAGACACTGCAAAAACGATCTAGAAATAGGTAAATAAAATTCTTAAATTCAGTGCATTTAGCCTCAATTTGAGCAGGTAAATAAGATTATTTGCCATTATTTGTATAATATTTTTACTTCTTGAAATAAGATGATTATATAAAATGCACTTTAACTAAGATGATGCAGTTGTTGTCTCACTTTTCTCTTCAATTCAAGAAAAAATTTACTTATTTTAAGAAAAAAATTACTAATTGAGATTTCATTTTTTTTGCAGTGGATAATGTGACTTGTGTCAAATGTTTCTGGTATCCTTCCACAGACTTCTTCCAATGTTTTTTCTTTAAACAAACTCTCTATAGGGTTCAGATTGAGGCTTATTCAATGGCTCCTCCAACACATTTAGTCTGTTGTTTCTAGCCAGTTTATAATTGCTTTTTAACTATTTGAGTGATTTTTTTTTTTTTATAGTGCAGCTTTGCAAAAGTTTTACATTTGTGGTTTCGGATGCTGCTTCATGAATAACTAATGGTATTTCCTCATAAAGTCCTCTATCTGTGAAGTGAGCCATCCCCTGATACATGATGCCAGCTTTCCCCTTTTTCAAATTTACAGGTATTTATCACAGCTGGAAAACTTAAGTGTATGTTTCATCAGACCACAGGGAATGACCCCGGTAGAAATCTGGCTTTTTATGTTTCGCTTTTTGGAGCGTCAGATTCTTCTTTTTTTTTTTTTTATCTTAAACTCATTCTGCACCAAAACATGTTTATTTATGAGAAACAAAGTCCATTGTTTCCCTGTATGGTATGATGGCTGGACATTCCCACGGTGTTTATAGACACTGTTCAACGTAGAACCTTCAGGGCAAACATAGTTCAGAGCAAACCTGAACCAGGTCCACATTTCTCTTCCTGATGTTTTCCTTAATTTTCATGATTTTCATTTACCAATAAAAAAAAACGTGTTTGAAGTGTTGCACATCCAGAGAATTGCTTCCATTTAACTTAAATAACATGAATGAACCTATCAGAAGCTTATAAAGCCATGACATCATCATCATCTAGGGTTTCCCATATATTCAAAAGGCATAGTATCCACTGTAAATGTAAACTTCTATATTTGAAGAGAAACAATGAATCTCTATTAAAAAATGTATTTTTCAGATAAAAACAGAAGGAAGACCATTAATGGGAGCGCAGGAAGAAGCTCATCCATCAGCTGCAGCCAACAATCTGAGCTGATAAGAAAGTCTGCTTTGAGTTCAACAGGATCAAGGTTAGAAAATCTGCCATCTCCATATACAGTATGACAGAAGAATAAGAGCGGAGCGGAGAAGAGACAGACGGAGGAAGAGGCATGTGATAAGTCATCCCCAGCCGTTGTTTACTTTAGCAGAGCAGTTCCAGGCTGGAGTCGTCGGCCTCCAGCTAAGTCACGCATGTCACACACACACACACACCACGGGATCTATGGGGACAGCCATTTTTATTTATATATTTCTTTTATAATACACCAGGCAACTAGTATATGACATCTTAATTTATCATGGGCTTCTTTTTCTTTTCAGCCTTCCCTTTTAGCATCAAAGTAATAAAGGCACATAAACAGTGACAGAACTGCAGCCAACAACTGTGTGTGAGCTTTAAAGACGTAGATATAGAGCCAGAACTCTTAAACTATTTTTATGAGATTTTGCCAAAAGTGTCTCCATTTACAGTGACTCAGTGATAGTTTGTCTATTTGTGATGAAAATAGTTTTATCGTCATGAATTCTAATGTGATGCTATAATGCTTTATATATAACATGACATTTTTTTCTATTTTCTATTTTCAAGACTTATCTGATCTTATCTTATATCTGAAGGATATAAGTATAAGTAGTCATCGACAGGAGAATTTTTAACCTGAACAAATATTCTTGAAGAGCAGAGATATTTAGCCTCATTTAAATAACATTAACAGTTTATTTTTAGACCTTTCAGATCCTTTTGTCTCAAAAAATCTGCATCAGCATGAAAACTAGGAAAGATTCCTTGTTAGGATAAATATACATTTTCTGGCAAGTGAGTTTAGTAATACGTAGGTTTATTTCTACATATTATTATTCAGAGACTCCTCTGATTGATTGTGTTTGGTTAAAGGTGTGACGTTCAGCAGAACCCTTCTAGCCTATTGGGCACAGCAACAAATAGTGCCTGCCTACCAAAGTTTGGTTTTAACCAATCATGGAGACACATGAAATAGTAGCAGAAATCATAAGGAACCCCAACTTCTGCTTTTATGCTCGTTGTTCCTCTTTCAAAGAGGAAATCTTGGATTCTGACAGATGTGAAAGCAGCAGCTACATGTGGGTCCTCATCTGCTGCCATGTTTATTTTGATCTGGCACCTTTTACTAACGTCACAGCTGTATGTCCCGCCTGAAACCACAATACTGCAACGTGATTGGTCGGTCTAGAAAGGTTAAAGTGGAAGAAGGACAAGATGTATTGTAGTGTGTTTATGAATGTACAAATACCATGATAATTCAGTTAGCTAGCAAAGTTATTAAAATTTGTATTAATATATCTACTTACCAGTATCAATCAAGTTAATTTATTTGATTGAATAATTACAATGCCCAGTCCTCATGGCTGTTATAGAAAAATAACATGCATATCCAATGCCTCTGTGTATTTCCAACTTTTTCTTTAAAGAAACTTTAAGAAAGTTCCCAAGTCTTACCACAAACAAATCTGTACTGTCTGTTTCATAGCGCTATCCGCTGCATCTAAAATACTGACTAAGGTTAATTCTGCTCAGAAAACCCAACTTCAAAAACAATTTTGAAGAAGGAGACTTTTTCTCTGAAAATTGATAGTAGCGTTTAGATTTCGTTGAAAACATCCATGATTGTAGTTTCCCTTTATACTTCTGTTATAACATTGATCCCCACCTCTAGATATTTGGAGTAGATCTGTTGCTACTCCAATAGTCTTTTTGGCTATTTGAGCCGATGTAACGAGTAAATTACTCCACTGTGACATCAATCAATCAATCAATCAATCAATCAATCAATCAATCAATCAATCAATCAATCAATCAATCAATCAATCAATCAATCAATTCTACAGGTAAAACTATTTTCAGAGCTGATAAACAGCTTAGAAACACATTTTTGATCTTAACTTTATTCCTTAAGTATGAAAATCAGCTCCTTCTTTACACAAGTAATGGAGAATAAGGGCTTTGTTTAAAAGTTTGTGTTCATAGAAGAATCCCTGTGACATCATCGGGGACTTTTCTTTTTCAGTTCTTGGAAAGCGTCGCCTAAAGTCATAGATGATGTTCCTACACGTATGGTATGTCTGCAGACATCATTTAATAATAACTTTCTCTGTATAATCCGAGGTGACCATTTGGCACAGACCCTGAGGATATTTTGAACACACACTCAATATTTGGATCCGTAATATAAAAAGAAGTCAAACATTAAATATGGATTTTTGCTTGAAAAACTACAAAGATCCCCTTTAAATCCCAAAAGCACCTGGTGGAGTTTTTATTTTATTCTAAAACATCCCCCAAAATCCCAATTCTACCCTCACAGTTCTTGTTTTAGTGATGCCTTAACACACAGTGAGTTGACTGTAAACTGACAGCCTTGGTTAAGTGAGAGATGTTTCAAATAATGGTGGTAATTGTGTGTACATACAGGTGATGCTGTATACTCACAGTCTTGGGCTCGATGGATTCCGCCGCTGTAGTCATGCCGTCCAAACACTTCCCTACTATGGGCAGCACTTGGCGGTCCACCTCTGCGAACGTCTTCATGCACACTCCTATTCTCTCAATCCTTTTCTCTTCCATGTCTTGAAGTTTCTGCATTCATAATCATACATGAAAACTCACATAAATATGACTTGGTGTTCAGAACAGACAACAGGTTATTAAAATTATGCATAGATTTGTAATTTTTTAGGTTAAAAATAAACTTGACCTCACAAGAACATTGCATGTTTCTAGCAGCTAATCTTGAGATGAGTGGGTGCCAGCGGCTTTGAATGTATAAGGTGGTTTATGCATGTGAGGGCAGGGTTGTGCAGCCATCATGTCATATTTACCTGAAATATGTTGGGAATAATTGTGTAGTAATGGTCGTTCTGCTCCTGGTTGAACTTTTGCAGGTAGGAGGAGTATTCGTTCTTACTGTCAGTGGCCATCTGGTGCCTCATCTGAGCTTGCTGTCGCGCCTGAAGGAAAACAAATTTAAAAAGAAACACGGACATGAACATCTCAGAAGCATCTTTTCAATGTATACCCTGATAGACTTGGACATATGCATTACACACTGACAGACTGAAGTTAAACTATTCCTCTATTCATGAGCCTGAGCACTGACAAACACGTAAAAAAAGCAGCTCATGGACGACCAGAGACAGGTGCTAATCTGTGTCACGAAGCAGCTACAGCCCTGATCAGATGTAGGCCAGAATAAAAACGTAAATTAGAAAAATATCTGACACTGAGGGCAGAATAAAGAGGATTTAGATTCGACTGCTTGCCCTATGTGTCTATACCTACGGTTAGTACTGCTGATTATGTTAGGCTAGTTAAACGTGAGGGAAGCAGGCTGACCGTCAGAAAGGCAGCAGGAGCAGGCTATTACTGACCAACAGTGAGCAGATGGGGATGAGATAATCTCAGCTAGACTGTGTGTGGGTGTGTATGTGTGTGTACACACTCCTAAGTAGTCATATCTGTTTCCTCTTTCCATCAGCACTGAAGCAGATCCACACATTAATAGTGACTGGTAGTCAGTGAGTGTCCACGGCAAAGAGTCAGCTTATAGAACTGGGATTGCAACCTCCACTGGTCTACTGAAAACATGCATTATGAATGGACAGAAGGAAAGCAAATAATCGATTTCTGCAGGACTGCTGAGAAAGTTTTATTATTGGGGAAAAAATCGAAAGAAAGGTTCATAGGAATGACACTGTAATAACTACTTAGCAGTTTCTTTACAAATAAAGAATCTGGCTTATTTTATTTTGAACCCCTGTATTGATATTTAGCAACTATCTAAGATTATTATGGAAACTATAAGGACATTAAAGTCATTTTAACATTTGACATTTTGGACTTCTTTTATAACTACTTAAATCAGCTGATTATGGCACATTGGCAAGACAGCAGGAGGTCAAAATGTGGCAGGCTTAAAGTTGGTACAGGCCTGAATTCCTCATTTAATATCCAGGCACATCTTCTTCCATTTTGTGTCATTGTCCATGCTTAATTTGTGTTTGTGCACCTCTCAAGGAAATAAGATATTTAAAAACGGAGGGAATCATGTAGCGAAGCTATTATAATCACAGTGAAGTGAAATCCAGAGAATTGTACAGGTGAAGAAAAAAGTGAGTGGAAGGTTCCTCACTGTAAATGCAGGTGTGCCGAACTGGTAGGTGCATGCAAAGTTTGCAGGTTGTGCTTAACAACAACGTGAGTTTATGTTGTCGTCATGGTAACAAGGCAGGTAGCATAACCCTGAAAGAGGCTGCTGCAGCCACATCACATCCTGTTTTCACTCCGGAAATGGCTTGCTTTGATCTACTTTGCCTCTGTGTGCAACATAGCGTTGAAGAATCAATTAATCCATCCATCCATCCATCCATCCATCCATCCATCCATCCATCCATCCATCCATCCATCCATCCATCCATTTGACTTTGTTTTGTTTTGCACATATAAAAATGTTGCACATAAAGATGCTGAGTAGAGGACATTGTTTAAAGCCACTGGTCACAGTCAGACAGGACAGGACAGACCTGGTTTAAGCTGTGCAGCCCACGAGTCGAGACAGTGTGTCCGCCACAAACAAAGGTTCTCTCCTCAATTGACCTACCTTGTTGAAGCCTCGCTTCAAGGCGTGGCATAGATAAATACACAAACAAAAACAGAGGGATTGTTAACTGTTTCCAGCTAAACAACATGTTGCCATAGGTGCACTTCCTGAACCACAACACTTTTACTCACTATGGTCGACACAGCACATGTCTTTTTTTAGCCACAGAATTTGGGTTCTGACAGTTCTTAAAACTCAAAAGTAATAAGGAGTCTAGTGGGATTGTTTGTTTTGGTTTTAGATTTGGGTTGTTGGACTGGGTAACCAAATTCCAAAATAAGACACTTCCTTGTTTCTCCAATTCTGAACAAAACTTTGACTTTACAAACAGCGGATACCTAATACTAAATCAAATCACATCTAAAAAAAATATAAAATTCCATAAACCCAAACTATACATCTACAGCATTATTATTTCTAATAACAAAACATTAAGTAAAGAACGTAGAGGTTATGATTCTCCTATTAGTTTTATTGTGAACACAAACCTCAATATATTTTGATCAGGTAATATCTGTGAGATCCCCAGAAAGTATTAAATAAAAGTAAGATGAAGCGAAAACGACACTAGTTTACAAATTTTTCTCTAAAATGTGTATTACACATATGCGTTCTTATAATAAGTGAATACTTTGCAAAACCACCTTTCACTGCAATTGCTGTCTAAAAGCTTTTCACATGTAAATACTTAAAATCCTGGCCACATGTTTTGTTTACAAATTATCTAAAACTCAGATTCTTTGTCAGATTGGATAGAGAACATCAGTGAACATCAGGTTTCAGTTGTTGTTTGGAATTATGTCTAGACTTTAAATAGACATAATTAAAGTCACACTTGAACACACTTTAATCTAAACAATTAACTTTAGCTCTGGCCTCAGGTTCACCTCCACATCACTTCCCCAGGTTTAACTTTATTCTTCCGCTACCCACAGCATGAATAAGCCAACATCGTGTTTCACCATGGTGTGTTAAGTTTCCAACTAAAAATCAGTTTGTGGGCTGGCAAATGAAGTTCTGGTGAACTCTGACCAAACAACCTTTTCATATATTTCTGATCCCTCCAAACATGATTAATGCTAAACAGCATAATGTTTTTAATGTATGTGTTTGTTACCCAGGTAAAGTGTTTTGTTACATCATAAAAAATTGTATTATTTTTTTTCTAGCTAACCTCTTTTTAAACTTTAGAATAACTTTCTCCCTGTCCTCTTTCCTTTGAGCCTTGGTCTTCGTGCTTTTTGCTACTTAGATTCAATCATTCACTGATTCCGTTTCCCTGTTAGGTGACTCCTAAAGCCAATTGGTTGCACCTGGTTTATTTAGTCGGAAGAGGATTCAATAAAAAAAAAAAATGGTTAGGTTTAAAAATCTGCATTAATGGCAAAAATAAATGGAACGCACTTGTTGGTTCAATTCATAAAATACTAATAAGATACATTGATGGTTGGAGTGATAACAACCATATGTGGAATCAGTTCAACATACAGATATTTTAGCACAAAAATAAGCAAAAAATATGCAATTTATTCATTTTTATTTGCATAATTTAGTTTTTCTCTCCATTTCTGCACAACAATATAGTTATAAGCATATATGAGCTGAAACAGAAACTGTATCCTAAACTAGTCTATCTAAATAATGTTTCCCTTTGTAAAGATGTTTTATACAATATATGTATTTATATTGTAAAAAAAACTTAAGAATATAGTATTTTTTTAAGTCTTCACAATTATGTAATTTTCCATTTTTGTGTTATTTTTTATTTTTTATACACTCTTCTAAGGTCCACATTTCTGTGACCATTTTTTCTATAATCTTTTTTCTGCTGTAAACACCAGAATTTCCCCATTGTGGGACAATAAAGGTATTTTCTATTCTTTTGTATTCTTTCTAAAACACATAAAAAAAGACGTGTTTCTTAGCAATGACAGCAACATTGTTTTACATTAATGCAAAACTAATTTAAGATTTTTTTTTTTAGAGTGTGGTGGAAATTAAAGACAAGTGTGGTTAATAGATGAGCAGCTCAGATGGTAATTATAAATTAAATGATAAGTATATGAAAATACGTAGAAATCTGTTTCCTTTAACTGCTCTTTCCCTATATCCCTGCTGTGCTGCGTCTCTCCAGAGGGGTTTATGGTTCTTCTAAATCCGTTGGTAGATGTTTGGCTGCATGTCTAGATTGTAAAAAGCTTCTTTCTTTCAAACGATATTTGCATAATAATCACGTCTGAACTGTGTCAACCCTGAGCTGTGCCTCAGCAGCTGATGGAAGCAGCCGGAGCACGTGCTGCTGACCCATGATGCCTTGCAGGCGTGGGAGATGTGTGGGTTATGGCCAGAGATTCTTGAGGGCTCTTTTAATTGGTCATGACAACAGGAAATGACATCATCTACAAGCCCATGGGGGCTGAGGGTTGGATGGTGGTCTGTGAGAACTTGATAAATGCTGAATGGCGGTTCATAAAAATTTTTTGCTACATGTAGATTTTTATTTTATTTTTTTGCAATGAAAATAAAGAGACACAAGCGTGATGAATCACTAATTCACCTCGCCACACACAGGCATGGCATTAATGCGAAGGCTCATTCAGCCCTGCAGAGTGTCTGGGGGCTCCTCTGCAATGATAATGAGGACTGAGTTGTGCTACCAGCTTTGTTCAGCAGCAAATCTCTGCTGCTGAGACAATGCCAGCTTTGACACAGCCTCCCTGGCATCAGTCACACAGTCACTCAATCTTTATTTTTGATTCCTTTCAGGCTCAGCCGAATGACAAATTAGAGCCGGAAGCTAGAAATGGACTTAAAATGGGTCAAAGGAAAAAAAAAAGAAAAAAAAGCGGAAGGTGGGAAAAGGGGTGTAGAGGGAGCCGGCGGGATGACACATACCTTCTCCACATCGGCCTTAGTCACGTTAATGTCAGCGTCCATCTTCTCAAAGTATTGCTGTGCTCTGTCTGCCTCTTTGCAGTCCCTCTCAAATCGTCTTTTACACTGAAAATATAACCAAATGAGATTGAGTGTTTGTTAACCGCCGCTAAAACCATAAAATATGACCTTTAAATAAGCATAAAAATGGACGTCATAACCTATATGTGTACGTCACAGATGCTTTATTTATTGTGTGCTGTGAAGGCTAATGTCTGCAGGCTGCAGAATAAACAAATATGCATGGTGGTCATTTGTGGAGAGAAAAAAACAAGCATTCATCCAACCCTCTGACCGAAACAATCACTGTTTGTAGGGCCAGTGTGCACTCTGAACTATGCCTCTCCGCCTTGCACACAATGCTATCATTGAGTGCAGAAGCAAGTTTGAGGAGGGTAAGGCAGTTATGCTTTTCTCCCCCTCGTCAAAGGGGCCAGGCAGAGATAAGTAGTGGTCTGCAGGGATTTTTCTCCTGCAAAGTCTTTTATTAAAGTGAACACCAAAACCTAGTCTTTCTCTATTTAAGGCTTTTAGCAACTAATCCGCATTTACCATGAACACACTGCAAAAATGATCTAGAAATAAGAAAAAAATCTTAAGTATCTATTAAGTATATTTAGTCTTAATTTCAGCAGGTAAATAAGATGATCTGCCAATGGAATGAGTATTTTTGCTCTTAAAATAAGATAGTAAGATAATATGCACTTGAAATTAGACAATAACATTTTTTTTTCTTATTTTAAAAGTAAATAGTCTTGTTCCATTGGCAAAGTGTCTCACTTACCTCCTTAATTCAAGAACAAATACACTTGTTTTAAGAAAAAACTTATTGAGATTTCTATTTTTTTGCAGTGCAGATATTTTTTTTTAGGTGTATGATTCCTACTTTAAAATTAGGACATTTACCTTGCTTTGTAAATAAATAATCTTGGTTTTAATGAAATAAAGAGCACATAATTTAGTTTTTAAAGCAGAATCAGAACAAGAGTTTATTGATTACATATGTCATCAATGTTGCAACATGTGTGTTTTGGCCTGTAGTTTTTTTTATTAGGGATAAACCGGATTTGATCCCAGATACGTATCATGTAGCAGCCTCTTTTAATCATCAGAGCTGAGTTTGGAATCCTCAAGATCTGTCTGGGACTTTATATCATCTGCAGCCTTTAAGTGCAGCTTAACATGTTGGTCTATACCAATAGTTTAAGTGGGGTTGTTTGAAAAGGATATATTGCAAAAAGCTTAGAATTTTAGAGAAAATGTTATATCTGTATTTATTTTAGACCGCTGGAATGTATGTCAGCTGGTAAAAATAGAAGCTTGGAACTTACCGATTCCAGCTGTTTCCACGAGCTTTCAATGTACTGCTGTGCTTTGCGTCCATCATGGAAATGCTGTGGGAGAAACCAAGGAAATGATTCATTTCATTGTTCCAATCCTGCACTCCAGAGATTTAAAGGCAGGTGAGTCTGACCTTGACACACTAAAATCTATTAATGGGAAACTGTGATAGGGGTTTCACAACAACAAGGCTAACTGCTATGAATCTTGAGCAGAATTAAAACACTGACATGTTAAAAACATTGAAGTTCAAGAGGATATTAAACAGTTAAGAGCTAAAATGTCAAAGACAGCAATAATATTTGGTGAGGGAGAAGCGAAATGGGTAATTAAGCTTTAAAGTATTGTGTTTAAGCAAAGCCTGATGCAAGGACTCTGCTGTTAAACAGTTTGCTCTTTAGAGAAGCCATCAGTGCTTTAAATTCACAAAGATCATTACAAACCCAACAAAGGCTTAAACAAACTTCTTTTTCTTTTCCTTTACCTCGGATGATCTAAAAGATATATTCACATTACAAGGTCCAAGAGTCAGATTAAGATTTAAAAGAAAAATCTGCATTGCTCTACCCTTAATTGTGCTGTGCACTGCCAGTCAGGAGGCTGTGAAATGCAATTACTTTTTTTTCATACTTGCAAACAAGGCATATTCATGAATCTCATTTCAGTACAGGTGTGCAAACCGTTAGTTTCACCACAGAAATGCTGCTTTACAGGCTGAAACAGACAAACTGCACACTGGCTGGTTTTAAATGAAACTATTCTGATTGACTGATTGTTTTCTGTTATAAATCTCTATACCATGAAACCTTGGTGGTTTTATTCATATTCAATTCATTTAAAAAAATCTTTATTAATCCCCCAATGGAAATTCTGTTTCGGTATGAGGGACGTGGAGTCCAGGGCTTTGCTGCCATCAGAGGTGCTGCCCTACTCAACATCATACACTATTGAAACACACTACTGGCTTATGCCTAAGGATAAATATATATAGTATAATTATATAAAATTTGAATTTAATAAACTTAAATTAGGATTTTTTTTTAGATATAATTTCTCCACCGTTGCAGTTTAGAAAAGGCTAAACATTTCTTAAGTTTTATTCAACAGTGTGGTTAGTTTTTGTGGTTGAGAGAGAAATTTCTAGAACGCAAACATCAAACATCGGAAGAGAAACCAGCAACAGAAATGAAGGTCCCCCCCCCGTCTAAATTTCTTATAATAATCCCGGTGATTCCCCCACCGGAGTTATCAAACTGTGAGTAAATTCAACTAACAAAAACTATTTCACCTTAAAAACTCTTTTGCCTCAGTCAAAGTTAGCAGAAGCTGATTCTTTAACATTTTTAGATTATAATATTTTGTAGATTTTTTAATTTCTTTTCTAAAGGAGGATTGAATAACAAACTTTGAACTAATCGGAAACAATAGCGGCTCTTGATAAATGATAACTAGCACTAATCAGATAAGGATTAATGAAGATTGGAAGGATTTTAAATGTGTGCTAATTTTTAATAAGAGAGAATATGGGCTAAAATAAAACTTATTTTGGAAAATTAAAAATATATTTTCAAACCAACATTTACATAGGTATTAAACATCTGTTTCAAACAATTCTTCAAAACATCTGTCTATGTGACATTGCGCTATTGTTTTTACAAAGTGTTTCGGTTTATCAAATTACTGTAAAACAATTCAGTGTAGTCCACAGACACCCACTGGCCACTTTATTAGGTACAGCTGTCAATCCTGTTAGAACACAAATCAAATCATCCAATCACATGGCAGCAACACTTCCTATAACCATATGCTGTGTGTTTCTGTAGAAAACCTTTGTTTTGTTTTAGCTTTCTTGTCCTTAAGGGAAAAAACACATATCTAAAGCAGAAAAGAAGAAATCCAGACCACCAGAATCAAAAAAGCTATATATTTTTTTTCTATGATCAGTTTCTAAATCCTTCTAACATAATGTTTCTTTCTTGTTGAATTAAAAAATCCTACAGAGGCACTAGACTTTCGGGGATGTGTCCCTCGGTTACACATGCTGCCGGCCGGAGCTGAGCTGAATATCGATGCTTTTATTCAAAAAGACACTCAGGCCATTATAAAACACTCGGGGCTTGTGGTTGAGCCTAAGCAGGAAGTAATTACCGTTTTCTGTCTTTGCACAGACAGACAGACGTAAGAGATATGAAAGTAACAGTGAGGTACAGGAGCCTAAGAGGTTCATCCTACCTGCTGAACACTGGACATGAGACAAGTTTGTGAGAAATGGTTTACCTCTAACAGTCATACTTCTCATTTCCCAAAGATTTTAGGGAAGCTGATTAAAAATGGGAAGTGCTCCTGTGTTTCAGAGGAAGTATTTAAGCTCTACCAGAAACAAAACCTTTAAGTGTTATCTAAGTCCTGATAATCCAGTGCAAAATCCAGAAGCAACGAAGAGAAAAACCAAAGACACCATTATATCTGCTTAGTTAAAAATCTATATGTGGGAAGTTAAATAAACTACGATGCTGCCTGACTTTAATAGTGATCACCACATGATCAAAACCAAACCAAATATGACCAACCCATCCCATCTATATGGGAAGCAGCTGTTTCTTAGTAAACAAAACACTCATCCAGATGTTCTGGGATATCGGCTCACTACATTCAGAGACTCCAGAAATAAACATGTCCGGTGTGGTTCACATCACGTGTGCGTCCCTTCTGAAACAGCAAATGGCAGCTGGAATATCAGTCACTAACCTGACCCTGCTCCCCTTAGTTACCTGTAAGAGTCAAATTTCTCATTGCAGACATTTTGCTGTTTTGATGGATTAACGTTAATAAAAGAGAAGTTGAAAAACATTACATAAGAGACAAACATTTTTTTAAAATGACTGAACATGCTTTTAAAGAAAATGCTATTTTAACTGATCTAAATGTTGCCCCCAACTTCAATAATGACATTTCAGAGTCTTATGAAATAACCAACTAATTAAAGTAAAATATATTCATCTAATTATGTTTTTAATGGGGGGTGTGTCTCTCAACCCAGGGCAACAACATCTAGGGAGGGTCCCACAAGCACACCCAAAAAAGCTTCCTGAAATGATACATGAACAGTAGGTAGATTTCTGTTGTCTATGGTGCTGAAATTTGTTTCTTATTAATGGATTTTACTCACAGCTACAATAAAGGAGCATTTAAGTGTGTTTTTAAACAACTCTGGACTGAATTTCATCATCCATTGTAGGGCTGCAACTAAAGATTTTGCAAATCGATTATTGTGTCGATTATTTTTTCCATTAATCAATTAATAATCTGATAGCCAAAGGTTGCTTGGAGAAGAATAAAAAAAAATAAATTAAACCAGTAAAACTAAAACTTTTACACCTGTGATTTCTCTATAGAGCATAATGAATGACATTTTTTTTTATCTTAAATGCAAAATATTTATATATATATATATATATTTTACAATTTTGATATAGTAAGTACTGCTCTAAGTTGGTTGCTCTCTCAGGTAAAGGCATTTGGCTTTACAGTCTCTGTATTCCAGTTAGCGATTAATCGATTACTAAATTAGTTGACGATTATTTCAATAATTTATTAATCCGATTAACTGTTTCAACAATAGTCCAAGGTTTAAAATCTCAAATGCTCAGAATGTCAGGTCTGAAGTAAACCTTTCCTTTTTTATACATGAAACAAAAAAAAAGGCAACTTTGAAAAAAAAAAAAAATCTGTTAGTGTTATTAAGACAGCCTTAGATCTGGAGAGTTTTAAAATCATGATATCTGGTACCAATACTAACCAAACATTTACTGCTTGATTCCACATAATTTCTTTTTGTTATGTTTTTTGTTGTTGCTGCTATTTTTGCTCTTATTAAGAAGTTAAACAGAAGAAGATGCTAACCCATTTCTAGTTCTTCATTCCTTTCCTGTTCTACAGGGATCTATAAACTTTGCAGCAGGCTTTATTCAAAACAAAACTGAATGTAGCAACATATTTTTTGCCATCTGACACATCTGAGAGAAAGGAAAGTGCTTTTTCTATGTAGCACACTTGCTGTTTTGGGTTCAGTTAACAAGTTAGTCAATCATTAACTGGACTTGCTTCATAAGAATTTCCACCTCCATTCAGAAACATGGACCTGCGTGCAATAGTGTGGCTGTTAAATCTGAACAATGTACCAAACTCAGCTTAAATTAAAATGTGAAAGTAGTCTCTATGTTAGGATGTAGAAAAAGCTTCTTATAGCCTTAGTTTCCTCTTAGCCTGCATGTACTATATATCTGTATCTAGGCCACAGAAAGTGGAGTAATAGTAGCTTATGGGAAAGTTGTATTTTTCTCTACTAATTAAAACTGTAAGAATTCAACTTATTTCGTATCGTTTTTCCATATTAGGTGCGTCTCAACCGAAAGATTGTCTTTGAATAATCAGTACTGGAATCGTTTGCTTAAGAAAACTTCCTGATGATTCCTGATGCTGCTGTGGTTTCTATGTGCTAAATCAGCAGCACTTATAGTTTTACCCCCCTAAACCAACACATCTTGATTGCCCTACTTTTAGAAAATGTGCAAAGTTAAATAGACCTCTTTGTGGCATATCCCCTCTGGCAGTTTAAAAATCTGTTTGCTCTTCATGTTGAAATCTATGCCTATGTAAGGAAGCCCACCTATGTTCGGTACTTAAGGATTTTTTTACAGAAATCAACTGAAACAAAAGCCTTTTATTTTATAATGTTCAATGTCAAGCAAGGATTTTATGACAGCCAAGTTCCACAGATAATTAACTGGAACCATAGTTAAAGCTACAGTGTGTAATTTTTAGCGACATCTAACGTCCAGACTGCATACCGCAGCAACATGAACATCTCCCCCCCACCGCTTCTCCCCCCAACAGTAAGGCGAGCGTTACGGGACAAAATGTCTTCCACGACGTCCGCATCACCTACCTTCTCAAGTGATGAGGTTTGTTTACATAGATAATTTTACAGATAGTATTCTCAGGCATAATACTGCCATCTATTGTTCAGTACCGTCTCAGTTCATCTCTCTCAACTTGCCGTAGTTACTTTCGTGCGTAATGGGCGATCTCTCAATCGCTAGTTTGTTGTCTCTGCGCTGCCGTAGCGCAAAGATGTCTGCCTCCATGGCTGCGAGACCCGCTCCTATGTAATTATAAATAACGAATTCTAAGGCAACGCAAATATTAAGGTTAAGAGGCTGAGCTCGTAGATGATGATAAATAACATAGTTATGTATAATATATTACATTTCTGACTGTATATCCCTGTAATTATTACACACTGTAGCTTTAAGCTGAAAATAGTTTAAAAAGTTAAAAATGATAATAATAACATGCTAATAACCTAGCTAATAGCCTGGCACAAAATTCAATTACTTTACATAAAATTATCATTATCAATGCTAGAAAAGTTTGTTTTAGAGATGAGAAATATTAGCTGAAGAAGATATAGCATATGTTTAAGGTCAGTTTGGACAATGTATAAATGTTACTGTTAGAATATGTACAAGGCTGGGCATACACTGTGCGATTTTTTTCCCTTATTTGGGCCGATTAGTGAGGATACGTGACAAGTTGTGGGAGAGTCTTTCTGCCTCATCGTGCGTTGTGTAGTATATGGGGGTAAGGAAGGGCGATTGGCCTCTCACGACCAACTCCCGATCAGGAATCGTAGGGTTGGGAAAAAAATCAAACATGTTTGAAAATCAACCAGCCCTGTTGAAGCAGAGCAACGAGCGTCTTTGAGCCGATTTACCAGAACCTCATGCACTGCGCATATGCAAACAAGGGACTTCTCCTTCTTCTTCTTCTCCTTCTCCCTCTTCCAGATTGATGAGTCTGACCAGCGCCATCTGTCAGCGGTGACGTGTGTTTTTTTGGACATGCACTGTGAGCAGTTAGATCGCATCAGAGCGTCGGATCTTAGATTATAAGACTTTTAAACGACGCAGCTTCATCCTACACTCTGAACTGTAGATGAATAAAATACAAGAAAATATCGTGGGGTGTATGCCCAGCCTAAGAGAGACATTATTTTTTGAGTTGGACTCTGTGACATTAGATAAAATGAGTCAGGTTGGTATTGGACAGGTAAAAGTCTAAATTTCGAAATCACATTATTAGAACCAGCAAGATGTGTCGGACCGGGAGGTCGTCCAAACTGTTCGAGGGTCTTTATCTGTCCTTATTAGAGAAGACAACTAAGCCACAGGAAGGTCAGCAGGATGCTGACTGAACACCTTAATATGATTCCTCAGCACAACAGTCCAATAGGACTTATATGCTCTTCATCCCATATTAACCTCACCACTTCTGCAATGGGATGCATGAGACCAGTAACCATTGCATTACAAAGAAAAACCATTATCGATTTAAGCTGTAAATCTACAACAGACTGAGCTATAAAGTTCTCTTTCATAAAATATTTCTCCATCTTAGCTCAAACTTAGCAAGCTTAGCAGGAGGTCAACTTTGTGAAACAAAAGAAAGGAGTAGGGATAGTTACACAACAACGTTGCCTGGGAAATTAATGAGGTAATATTGCTCCTTAGATTCTTGTGATGTAGATTAAACCTGCCCAACAAGCAGCCTGTAGAGCCAACAGAGGGCTGGTCTTTGGAGCGCTAATCCAGCTGTCTGAGTCGGCCTATACAGCTGTGCCTGACATGTACACCCAGGAAAACACCAGTAGGGCTTCATCATACTTGAATATCAGTGGAAGGGGGTGGGGTAAAAAAGGAAACCAGTGAAATGAAGGAAGCTGAGAACACAAAGCGTGACTGTTTTAAAACCACCATTCAGGGTCACATTACCACTTTCTCTACTTTAACATGAATGCACTGACTGTAAAATCTACTGTTTTCTTTATGATCTATAATCAGGCAAAGCCTTTTACGAATTACAGGGACTTCCTGTTCTCAATAGCCTTTTCAACATGATACCATTCATTGGTGGTCAACATGTCTTTGAAATGCCGGGACAAATGTTTGCTCTGAAAGGACACTGTTCTGAGTGTGACAGAGAAATTATAGGCTTAATGTCTGCGTTAAACCTCGGCCGACCGAATCAATACAGCTGAAACAAAACACATGATGCTCTAAAAACAGCATCAGCTGCAAGAATCATGCAGTGTTCAGGTTTTAGTTAGAATTTTCAAAGCTACGAGAATCTTCCATTTTACCATTTGAATTATTTAAACTCGTCTCAGTGAGATTTGTGACTTTTTTCTGTCTCTATGGAGAGGAACTCCAAAAATAGCCAATATATCTGGTGTGTAGTCTTCATTATTAGGTTAACACATCATATATTATGGATGTTGTTATAAGATTTGATGTGTCAGACTGCTATAGGGACAATTGCTAATCTTTCTATGCAGATAAATAGACTATTTCTATGTCTTTTCGTTGCAATAATAAGAGGAGAAGGCACTGAAAAGATGGATTTGGATTTAAAAGTATTTAAAAAATGAAACAGGAGAAATGTCAACGGATATTAGCAGGAAAGTTATTTAAAAAGTGATTTCCTGCAGCATGCAAGCTCTATCAAAGGATTCTCTGTGACAAAATACAACTGTTAATACAGTATCAGATCATAGCTATGCCAGGCTAATCTAAGCCTGGAGGATTCCCCCTCAGATGGGCTGGAAATCCCCTTTTGCCTTCACACGAGATGCAACTCAAAATAAATAAAAAAAGAGAGAGAGAGAAAGGGTGGGGATTATCATAGCTCCCCATTTCAAGACAGAGCAACTGCATCTTCCTTGATGCAAATGCAAATGAGGTAATACTAAGAAAACAGTCACATCAATGTGCCTTTGAGCAACAAAGGTTTTTCAGTCTAGTTCCCTGAATTGGTCTTCAAAGATAAAAATTTGTTTTGAGAAAAGGCTTTTTCCAAACTGGTGCTTCTCTTTCTTAGTGTTCCTCTATTAATTCTGCAGTTTTTAATGTCCGCCATAGTGTAATCTACTCCTTATGCTGGGTCAGAGCACTTGATAGATTATTCAAGTCGGCTAATTTTGATAAATGGATGGTCTAAAAGAGGTTGAATATATATATTATTAGACAACAATTCTGTTTTAAAAGCAGGACCCTATGAGTCAGCTTCCACACTTCTGCTAAGTGATTGTCTATCTACACGATCTTTATTCACAGTGACCTAAACATGGAGGGGGGGAGGGAGTTTATTTTTAAGCCACGTGTGATTTAAATAACTCCCATGTCGATCTTAACATTAAGAGAAACCACAACATAAAACCTCCTCACCGATTTTCTCTCAGCCTTCAGCTCCTGCAGATAGCGCGTTAGCTCGGAGATGATTTGGGAGGTCAGGTTCTCCGCTATGACCTCGTGCTGACCCGCGTAGTCGTTCAGCTCATTAAGGGTCGTGAAGAAGGCTCGACAGAAGGTGTACCTGGGTGGAGAAAAGGGAAAGAAACTCAGGAAACTGGAGTAGGAGTTTGGATTTCATCAGAAAGACATTTGTGTTCTGAAAAAGGGAACATCTAAAAGGAACAGTTTGATATTAGAGGAAATGGTTTGAAACTTTCTAAATTACATCTTATACTACAGCAAAGTTTCCATTTCATATTGACACGGAGTGTCGTCTGCAGAATTAAGGAAACAGGTTCAAAATGATTCTTATCTTTTCTCTTATTTGGATGAAACATGTTGACCAGCTGAGTGTTTTTATTCATTCCAAACTTTTGACCTAATATGGAACTTTACAATTCCATGCAAAAGTAGCTTACTTTTTTCCTCTTTAGTGGAAGAAATAACTAAAACCAAGGCACTTTATCTCAAAATTAAGAGACCGAGGCAAAGTAGGACAGGCTGTCTGCAAATGTGTGACCCCTCAATCACTATATATTGTAGGGACTATATAGTGGACTTTATAGTGCTCTCAGTTAACTGACCGTTTAGACAGATGACCACTGCTTTACACTCTTCTGTGGTCACACTACTCTGGCTCCTGCAACATTTTTGTTCCCACCCAATAAAACCACATCAGGCTTGGCAAGGGGGCTCTTGCAAAGCATTCTGGGATATATATAAGCACTAGACATTCGGACATCCCTAAAAAAAAATGGCGTAACCCCTACAGAGTGCTCTATATAGGGGTTAGGGCCCACATTCACATTCTGTTTCTTTTTTAAATATAAAAACAAATATGATTTTCAAGATGCTTGAAAGAAAAAAAAAGCTGAAAAGTGTGGCACACATTTATATTTAGCCACCTACACTTAGCATGTTTTTCAGTGGATATCTTCAACATGGATGACTTTTTGACACACATTTCTCCCTGTGCTTTGGAGCTCAGTAGCTCCTCCAAAGTCACCATGGGCCTCTTGACTCATGATAGACCTGGTAACAGACTAAAAGGCGCTGAATATTTATTGCAGGCTACAATTTTCAGATTTCTGTTTGCTAAAAATATAAAGTAATGCACGGTTTTCCTTCGATCGGCTGATACGTGCATGTTTTGGCCAATTCATTAGTCCATTCAGGAGCCATCCCTTACAATCACTTGAAGTGCACGTATTGCTTCTCCCTTTCATCTGATATCTATTGCTAATATGTTGTTTGATTTATCAGTAAGTTTTTCTTTTTTGTTTAAACTTAAACTCGAGTAACATTTGTTACCACTAAACCATTTTATGAGGATCAGTTAAACTGAGGGTCATCATTGGCCTTTAGAAAACCTGTTAAGGTCAAACTCTAGCTTAGCTGCCTGAAAATAATTCAAAGGGTTTTAATACTTTCTGTCACACGATGCTTTAACTTACTTGCTCTCTTCTTCTTCCCGTGAATTCTTCTTGGGTTGATATTTCTTTGAAAGATTCCTGTGACGACAAAAAGTTCAGCCTTGTTAGATGTTTCTCACCATGTCTTTACAAATAGCACAGTCTGCAGACACCGTTCCCACCAAGATTCTCTGACCCCGCCCATTTAAACCCATCCTGCAGAGCATTTGCTACTACTCCACTTCATTCACATTTGTTTTTATCCCTTGGTGTCATAAATCCATGCCAACAGAAGGGTGAACGCAGAGCATGATCCCAGAAAACTTTCTCTCAAACCGCTGTACATCTGTAAAATAACATTGGAGCGAGGAATATAAACAAAATGAAACGCAGAGTAAAGCAGCTTGTGAACAGACCAAATAAATATGCTGTTGTGCCATCTGTGATGAATTAAAGCTGCTTGAATTCTGCTGTCATCACAGTGACGTCTCTCATTGTCCTTTTCAAACCTCCACATGTCGAACTGTAGGCTATGTTTTATTAAGTGACGAGACCTTTTATTTAGACATACAACACAAACACCGCCCAACTGGTCTATCAGCAATGCATACTATGGTTTAACGTACTCTGATGGATGGGGAGAACAGTTGTGTGTTTACACTGCCCAAATAACCTGCTCTCAAAGAAAACAAGGACAGCCACAGTCACAAGAAAGGCAACATGTTCTACATTCATTGGCACTTTTAAAATAAACGTTTCCTATGTTACAGCTGCATAATCACACATAGAAAAAGGTCTACCTTTTTAGATCTCAGCCCACTTTAAATCAACTTCACAACACGGCCTTTTGGGTAAACACAACTGTAAAAAAATGTGTTTGCTTAAAGATAGATACGAAACATGCTAATCAGCCACTATTTATGCCTCAGATGCGTTTGATACAGTGGTTGCAGCTGGTTGCAAAGCTGCAAAAGCAGCTCAATGTAAAGTTTGTTTAATAAGTGTGCCAATTAGGTGTCAAAATAACCGTAAATTTTAGTTAAAATTTTCAAAGTGTTTTTCAAACCCAAGGTTTCCTTTTCTTATACTAAAAAAAAAAAAGCCTTGCATTGACACAGTTAAACAATTGCAACCCCTCTCTCAATGAGGGAAAGCTTAGAGCTGTATCTATGTTCCTGTTTCCTTTAATTGAGGATCAAATGTCTTCCTTACTTGAAAGGTATATTCTGATTAGTCTTTTTTAATAGAAATAATCCTTTTTCATGATTTCAAAGTAATATCCTAGGACTTTAAAATTACATGTTATGTTTCCATCCAACTGCCAAGGAAATTAAAAGCATTTTTTTTATTGCAAAACAAAGAGATAAGATAAATTAACCATCTACTGGTTTGAAACAAACTAACCAGGCTAAAAAAAGAAATATTTCTGTAATAAACAAGAAGCAGAGGTTACAAACCAGCACTGAGCATTCATCTGAGGAAAATGGAGAGATGTTTTCTGGAATGTGTTCATGTGGGGTGAGTTTTATTTGGTTTTGCGATGTCACCCAGCGTTGGTGTTAAGAAAGGACATTGTAACACATTGGGAAGCAACTGACACTTTAGAAGAAGCTGTGGTAACGTTCACTAAATAAGAACTTATTCGTCAAATGTGATTCGCTTTTCCTCTTAGCTCATTTGAAATAAAAAGTCCAAAAATCTTCAAGCGAGCATAAAATTTTTAAAGATAAATGTCCAATGTTATCTCAAACCTATTCTAACGGAATGCTTCATAATGAAAATAAAATAACGCCAATGCAAACACTGTAATAGATATTAATAATACAATTATAAACAGATCATGAAGTGAAAAAGTATAGTCCAACTTACAAAAAATGGTTCTATAGATTTTATGGATTTTACCTTCTCAGTGAAAGAATGTCCCTAAATTAAAGTGTTTTTTTCTACATTTTGCAGTGTGAGATCTTCCTGCTGCAGTAAATGGATGCATTTGTCTACCAGAGGTGTCATAAAACACCTATATTAATTCACCGACTGCATCAAATCAAAGCCCTAAAATCACACTCCATATTACTTTGCATATTGGCATTCTTTCCAACATTTGTTCCCGCAGCATGCAAAGAACTGATAAAATTGACCGTTATCTCTTTTACAGCACATTAATCAATAAAGGATTATAAACACTTCTGCCTTGGCGTTCTAAAATAAAGAATCCATACCTCCTACTTAAATAAATGATGCATGGGTTGGAAAAACTACATGTTGGGCAGAGCGCTCCATCTACTTCCCTCTGCTAGCATCCCCCCACGCTTTGACTCCCCAGTGGTGTTTTGAGCTGTTGCTAGGCAGATCTGTGTCTTGCTCTCTGTGCTTCTCACCCCCAGTATCTAATTATAGCACTGGTTAGTATTTATTCACGTTCATCACGTGAACAGAGATATGGGTTAAACTATACTCCTGTACAGTTTAACTGCATTTAACAAACCTCTGAAAATGTAAAATGTTCCTTTAAAATGTATTTTTAATGCATGACACAATGCTACTTTGTATTGCATTGAGTAGTCAATAAAAAAATGACATACACATAAATGTATTAAAAATATAAAGAAGTACTTAATGTATAACACTTGCACAGCAGTTCTTTTGTTATTTGGACTTTATTCCAGCTTTATCGTGGATTATGCCAGACTCGAATTTGGGGGAGGAGGAGGTATTAAAGCACTGGGCTGCACAGACTGGACTGAAGCATTGTGCTTGTTTACACCGATGCAATAGAAGAGGATTAATCATGGATTAGAGGAGTGTGTAGTTGGTATGGTAATAGGGTGCAAAAGTGTTGAAGCTTTTAAAACATTTAATTGATGAGATTTTTCTTAAAAATAGGTTTTTAGCTTATAAAACATAATTTCAGATTGCAGGTCTCGTTTCTAGAACTGCGGATCAATTTTTAGTCTATCATAACCGACACAGTTCTTTTGGCCTTTTGAATTATTGATCGGTCACAGTTTGTCTCAATCATTCTGTCTACTATATAGCATCTCATGTGTCTTTTTTTCTATTTTCCCTTTGCAACTAAATAAACCCCAGCTGACTATATGAGTTCTAACTATTTAGTTGACTGAGTGAGTTAGAGAAGTGAGTTAGCAAATGGAACTTTCTATGAACTAACTACGTCTGAAGACAATACGAATTTTATCTTGTTCAAACTGAGATATACCAGTATATCAGTTGTGTTAAGAAAGTTCACCTCAGTCAAGGAAATCTGCCCAACAACACAGACCAGAGACAAAAGAAAATGATCAAAGGCCCAGCTCCATTAGTTTATTAGATCTAAGAGCTCTATGTTTCTTTTGGTGTGAGTGTGGTCAGTAGATTAAACCGGATCTCATGGACTAAGTTGATTAGAAAGGATAATTAGTTCTTAGGTATGACAAAGTGGCGCCAGAAGACAATGTGTTGAGTGCAACTGGAAACTCTGATTCAAGACTTCCTCTATGTCCAAAATATTCCTCAATTTAGTCACCTCTGTGCTCTGCCTTTGTGCTCTGCCAATGAGCACAAACGCATGTTTATGCGAAGATGGGCTTAATAACAGACACAGTTAGACAGCTGGCCCCTTTGTATAAGCAGAAATGGAGGAAAACATCCGCTCCATCTGTGGAGAAAGTTTATTAAACCTACAGTGGTGAGATGAGCTCAACACACTGATTGAATTATGTCCAATCCAACAAGAGGCCAAAATCGGAGCTGCAATAAGGTATGGCTTTGTTCTGCAATGTTTGCAGTGTTATTCAATTACCTTCACCCCCCTACAACACCCAGCAAATATTATTATTAGGAAAACGTTTTGACCTTATAAACAAAGTAATATGTGATATTTTCTTTTAACACATAAAACTGATAATTGCTAAATGGACTCCCATTGATCTCCTTTAGAGTGATACCACTTACTGCAACAAAATGGCTTTTAGACAACTAGTAAACAGAGCACACCTTGGTGTGATTCAATCTCTGTAAACGATTCAAGTGTCCTGTGAGGGCATCGGATGTCTCTTAATGATAATCAGAAACAAAAGGCGTCATGACGACTAAGGAACACAAGAGTTATGGAGACTTTTAAAGGAGGGTAAGACTATAAAACTAAAACTGACCTCTGTGCATCCCATAGAGCAATCCATAGTCTGAAAAATGTAAACAAGAAATTGAAGGCTTTTTTAAAGTTGATGAGAAGACAAGAAGCTAAAATAATTGCAACCCTGTTAGAAAACCATTTAGAACCTGCAAAAGACTTGAAAATGCACTTCACACTATACCTAAACATGCAAAGGAGGATCCTTTTTACTATTACTTTGTGTTGATCAGAGAGCATTGTGGAAAGGTTTTAAGGATACTGTTCTGTAACTACTCTGGACATATCATGGATAAAAACACTTGGACTTGATTAGAGATTATTAAACTAGTTTGCTTCTAAAAATGTAGCTGATATAACATAAAGGATAAAAAGCATAAACAGAAATATAACGACAAGCAAACACAAAAAAAGGTTGAATTATTGTTCATCCATAGCCTTATAGAGGGATGAGTGCTTAAAGAAAGCATTTAACTAAACACAAACAAAGTTATGCTTATTACCTAAAGAGGAACGTTGCAAAAAAGGGTCTTAACCAGAGCTTTTTCCTGAAGTTATTTTGTTCGGATAAATCCTGTCACAGTATTAGAGCTTCATTCTGAAATAGGAAGGTTAAAGTAAATGCTTAGGGCATTAGCCATATTGACCATCCTCTTTAAGGATGAAGATGCGGATTTAGGGGAGTATCTCCCTCTGTAGCAGGCTGAGCTGCAGGAGGCCTGAGGAGATGGATCCTCCCAGAGCAGCACTTCTCATGCTCCAAAAACTGCCTTTGAAAATCACTGACTGTACCACAACAGAGTGAGTGACGAGGGAATGGGAGGAGGAGGAGCCGACACATGTGGTTGGTGGAATTAAAAAAATATTAAAAAAATCTGGGTCAGACCTGGGGTTGATAATGCCGATACCTTGTTATCACTATGGAAACCCAAGCCCCACCCCCACCCCCCACAATCTGACTTCCTTTTTGCCTCAAGCTCGAGCCAGTGACATCACAGAGCTTCACATTCAGAGGAGCAGGAAAGAGGCAGACAGAGATGCAGCTCGACAGATGGAAAGGGAAGTCGAGCAGACATCCTCGCTGAATTATTTCATTGGCTCTACACATTCGCTGTGGTTGTATGCAGTCTAAAATACAAAATATGAAACTGACAAAGTTGCACTCCAGAAACAAACTGGGATAAAAACACTTGCAAAACCTAGCATATTGGAATGTGTTGAGTCTCTTTTCTTTTCACTATGTAGGAAACAGCGTTGCACAGAAATTAGGCCACAAAGGCACTAGCATCGATAAAGGCTCTAATGTTAAAAACACACATCCAGAGTGATGCACATGTGGGAGCCAGTTAGCTTAGTTAGTTGCTAAATAATTCTTAATAAATCTTAAGTTTTAGCAACTTATCAGATCTATCAACTTCGTCTAAAACTAAAAATTTCACATTTACTCTAATCGAGCTGTAGGTTTAGAGGTGTTCAATTAGACCCAATTCAGGAGACACCTTAAAAGCAGCCTGTAAAGTTTGATGTGAATATGAAAGAAAGGAAATCCTGCAGTTGCCTCCAATTCAATCACATGTGATGTGATTGCTGATATCAGCGCAAGCTAAAACCGCAGTGGAAGAAAAAAAACATGCACTGTATTTTGTCACCTGGTTTTATGTTACCTTAAATATATTTTTTAAAAACATATGCTCATTGAAAAGGTTTTAAAACTGTATTTTATGATCGATTTGGGGGCGTGTCCCAAATCCTTCTGACGGACAAAAAGGATCCAGAGGTTTTGAGTTTGAGCCCCACTCCCTCAGACTGCCACTCTGGGTCCTTGAGCAAGACCCTTAACCCCCGATTGCTCCACGGGCTCCCCACGATGGCAGCGCACTGCTCCCCAAGGGAATGGATTAAATTTAGTGGTAAATTTCTCTAATGTCCGATCAATAAAGTTTCAAAAATGAACTCCAATAACTCACCTAATTTGCTTTGCATAGTTGACTTCAATCTCTGATCGCTCCTTCACAAATTTGTTGTACTTTTCCACAAACTCGATCCCCCACTGTGTATGCTTCTCCAAGTTATCAAACTGATCCTGTTGAGAACAAGAGGAAGAAATGACTTTATTATTAAAAAAATTTTAAAAAAACTCCACATCAAACAAGTTTCAAGATGAAACCATGCAGTTAAAATGCTTTGAGGCTACATAGTATACATTTCTCCTCAATTAAGAAACGATTAAATGAGGCAACTAACGAAACAGGACTTTAAAGATACTTAACTTTGCATATTTTCAACAAATCAGTCAGAAATCAGTCAGAAATTATATATTTTTTAAAGATTCTGCATTAAACGTCTAACAGAAATCAGCTGTTTAGCGGGACTGAAATTTAACAGTATCCAAGCGTTCAAGGACGGGAATTTTTTCCAACCCCGCTGCTGTATCAAAGTAGTCTTTGTCCTGAACACGGTTACTGATTAGAAAATAACTTATCTTTTATTTTTCAGGTTCAGTAAGATGTTAAAATTAATTCAGATTAGATGTTTTTTGTAAAGGAAACATTATTTTCTGCAACACATTGAAACAAGTCTTCTTAGATAACAGAAGGCTTTCTTTTATTCTTTCTCTCAACCTGTTTGTCACAGAATGTGCTGAATTTAGAGAAAATAATAATACAATGTAAATTTTAGAGTCAGGACGGATCATATTTCTCCATAGAAAACATATGACGCCCACAGTTAGTAAATAAAAAGTGCAGAAGATATATAACTGATAATACGTCTTAAATACCAAAGCTATAATCATTTAGCCTTTGGGTTTAAAATAGGAAAACCTGATTTTACAGCGAGTGTTCTCTCTCACAGTACCAAACACAGTGTGACGTCACATCTGCCCTTAAAAATAAATCAAACAGAAAGGTTATAAAACAATTATATGAGTGCTGCGAAGCATAAAAATTGCAACCAGCTAAACATAGCCTTCTGTCTCAACCCCTGTAACTTCACCTGCTAACACTGTTTGGCTGCAAAAAACTTGAAAAAAACAAACAAAGCTCTTCTTTTAGTAATTCATAATGAAATTCTGCAAATAATTTGCTTTGAATTCCACACTTTGACGTTTTTTGAACTAAAGTCAAAGCCCCAGAATGCTTCTCAGGACAAATTTCACTGGAACATACAAACATACTGGAGCGCCGTAAACAGAAAAAAAAATGGCTGTTTATCATATCCTACAGTTATGAAAAGATGGCGTCTTTTAAATGGCTAAAATCATCATGACTAGCTGTGAGTATTTCTGCTCTGATGATTTATTAGCCTTCCTAAAAAAAAAAAAAAAGAAAGAAAAAAAACTCCTCTGCCATATGACATCTGTCTACTAAAAGGAAACCATTACCTCACTTCCAAAATCTATCCCTTTAACGCTACTCTTTAGCCAATCATCTGCAGTCCATCCAAACTCCCACTGGTTATGAATTGATCATAAGGTAAAACAATATCATCTGGCATATAGCCTGTTTATTCACATCTGCCTAATGCATCCACCAATGAAAAGCAGCTCAGCAGTCACTCATCTCTCCGTAAGCTCAGAGCTACTAGGTTCACCAGCAACTTCTCCTGCAGATCCAAATATGATTTCTAAAAAGTGGGATGTTCCAGAGACTTATAGTAAAACCAGACCCCAGCAGTCGACAGCACTGATAACCAAACACAGCTGTTCAGACTGAAGTCATTATTTAAGAGTTGCTCGTGAGTTGTGGGGGAAAGAATGAGCCTCGACTTGGCTAAGGTCATGCCGGGAAAGTCATCAGTTCAGCAAAGACAGAAAAACAATTCATCTGGTAAATCAACACACACACATACGGTATGCCACATCTAAACCCAGACTATATTATCGGTCCCTTAGTTGACCCAATCTAACCAAAAAGGAGAATGAAAAGCAACCTTGGTGTGGCTCCAACAGTCCCCCATCCTCTCCTCCACCATGTCTTTTGGTCTTCTTTGGGTCCAACTAATAGTACTTGCAGGAGGAGAAGGTCTTAGAAGGTGGCAGCACCAGAAGAAAGCCTAATTGATTTTCTAAGAAGAGTGAACAGAACTATTCAGGAGTGCTTCAAGCATCCTGCTTTGAGAGCTTTGAGATATGAGAGACACAGGAAGCGGTTGTGGTGATGAAAAAATGAAGAGGACTGCTTTGCTCTGCAGCAGCGTGAAACAATGTCAGCAGCCCAATAGCTTTTTAATAACACTCACGCTAGTCTGAAAGGTAACGTTTTGGAGCTTTACTGCATCCAAAAACTTGTCACATGGGGCGTGATCAAATCACTTCAACGCCCCCGAATGAAGCACTCAGGAACTGGACGACTCTCAATTGATGCACTCAGAGAAAACAATGGAACGAGGGGGGCTTTCCATTCTGCATTGTAGGCCAGTTCAAGAGAGGCTTCTCCTATCAGTCAAGAGCTAGTCAAGAAAATTACTATAAAAGCAAAACTTTCTCTGGTGCGAGAGAATACCTATGAAATCTCTCCTTTTAAGTCCCCAATGTCATGCTCCTTTTAAGAAGTAAAGTACCCAAACTTTTTTTATTTTATCACAACCACAGAGCAAAAGCCTGAAACTAAATAAAAGACAGCTCACATTACTGCTGCTAAATCATGCACAATAAAAACCTCCACTACTCCTCCACACACATTTCTTGAATTACCCTTTTTTGCAGGGGCACCATCTTGTCCAGTGGCTCTCAGCGTGGAAACGTCCAGCCTATGGAAAATGCCCATTCAATCCACAACCTCCGAGTGGAAAAGCTAAAGCTAGATCCGAGAGGTCATCCGTGAGACCTTTGTCTGGGTATCCAAAGTGGAAGCAAGTGCTGATCAGGAGAAGTGTGCCTCTTTTGGGAGCAAAGTCTCCTGACCTGCCCCCACTTCAACGAATAAAGAAGGAACTATCCAGCTGGTTCAAGTAAATCCTGATTTTCTGGTAGGAGCATAACATTTGCATGCAGGGAAAGATCCAAAGCACGACTGGGACGCTCAACAAGCAAATGAATATGAGTCCACGGCTGCCTGCAGCAGGCTTAATGCTCCATCAGGCGTAAGGTGGAATAAGTGGGATGAGAGAGGAGGACAGTGAGAGAGAGCAGCAAAACAAAGGGAGGGGGCTTGAAAAGACCAGGAATGACAGAAGAGGCGGGATTACTCATGAGGGGATTACATTGGTTGGGGGTTGGGGGCCTCCTAAAGTTTGCAAGGTTCTCCAAAGTGTGGAAAATCAAGCAAAAAAAAGTGGCACAAATCTTTTGGTTGAGTTTGTGATGAGTCATTGTGAGGTGATGTATCAAGAAGCACTTGCAGGGGTAAAATGGAAAAGCCATCATTGAAGCAATTTCCAAGATACTCTTGAAACATCAGATGATTAATTAATGAATCTCAGGGAGGGAGCTGTAAAAAAAACATTATGAGAAGTTATTGTGTGTATGTATTCAGTTACAACTTTTCTCCTTATCACATCAACCCCCTGCCATTACAGCCAGTAAAGTAGTTAAACTAATCCAAAGGTTCTCTCTCTCTGACCATAGATATCCTATAGCAAAACTCTATACAACCATAAAAGCAGGGAATTGGTGCATTACGCAGTTGTCTTCTTTTAAAGATGGTAAGCAAAAAAAATATATTTAAAGTTTGTTTTTTCAAAAAAAAAAGAAATTCAAAGGTATATATATATGTATATATATAAATGGCAAGTGTAAGAAGTAATAAGCTAGCACAGACCACATTTCAATGATGGAGCGAGGTTTTATTCAATGTCTTGCAATCAGCTAGTTGTACAAATGTTTACATGTCAGCTACAGTAGTATTAGCGATGGTCTATGCCGTCCAGAGACTTCGACAGAGAAGTTGGATTCTAATGTCTACATTCAGGATGTCGGCTGGGGAAAAAGCTGATCAGTTCATCCTCCTACCCTGTTTTAGTTACACTGGAACCCAAAAGTAACCAGATCGCTCCAGGATGCAGACAAACCGAGACCATATAGGATTCTCTGGTCTGCTTCAGGGTCCAGGATAGGTTCAATTTGACAAAACCAAACTCTGTCATTAAAAAAGCTTTTCACTGGTTTGGTTTGAATGGCATTGTGTGGCTCAAGACCAAGGAAGACTTCCACCTCCTTGAAATAACTTTAATGCCCCAATTGCTACAAAGATTAATGTAAATGTGACTTTATGAAGCTTGAAACTGCTCTTCGGTTTGTATCGGACTCTTTTTCACACAGAACCTGATGTTTACATGGAAAATAGAGCGAATCGCTCTACTTTTCTGCTAAAAGGAAAGATAAACTATTGCAAACAGCAAAATATAACACCAGTTTAAGAGTATGTGCTGTGCTATAGATCAGTACACTGACTTCCATTTTTTAGGGTAATCATTAGGGTAAGTACATGTATCACATAGAAGATCACTAATGGGGACATTTATCCATCCTACTTCCTTTTTATTGTAAAATAATAATAATCAACTTTATTTTATTAATCTGTAATCTTTCATTGTGCAGTTGCTTATGAATGGAAATCGTCTTGTGAAATGAACTTTTGGTCTGTTAAGCAGTATTGTTTTAGATCACTGTTCGGTTTTGTACAGGCCTGACTGTATAAAGGCACATATATAAAGTTAGTCTCATTTATTTTTAACCAACCTGTACTGTCAGCAATATATATAAATATTAAATTGCTAATTCAAAATTAACTTTATATTAAAGTTTTATATTAACATCTTATTAAAGCTTTTCAGAACTATTTCTTCATATAATGTTAGACTCTATTTTTTTTATGAGTAATTTCTGCCCCCACTACTCCCCAGTGGAAACTATAAAGCACCAGAGTGTCAATGATTCAAGCAGTTCTGACTAAAAATGCAAAATGAACATACTTCTGTTTTACACAATGTTATCTCATGGACCATGCATGCAAATAGAACACTGTTAGTAACTCTGCAACAGTTGGCTGCATTCAGGTCAGACCTGCACACAGAACTTAGTGATTTTAACTCCCACCCTCCTATCAAGTCCCTGACCTTGACTTACATCTATTCTTTCATCTGCAGCCTCTGACACCTAACCTTGCTCCCACACAGGGGGATACAGTATGTGGGAGATCCCTTCCAGAACTGCTCGGCTTGTTATTTCAGGCCACAGCCCTGCTCGCCGTGATGCAAGCGCTATTGTAGAAGAACATGAAAGGAAAATAAATAGAACCCTGCAGCTAAAAACAATCCTTTTTTTAATGCAGGAAATTAGGGATTCAAAAATAGAATCCATTTTAGTAGTTGCTAAATACATGTTGGTTCCCTACTGGCTGTAAGAAAAGAAAACAAGTTCATGTTTGTTTCAGGATCAGTCTCCTGACCCTGTAAAGCCCCCCTAAGTAGAGATGGGGATTATGGTGCAGGTTAATGTATCAGGCTAGTGGTTAATCTCAACTAATGCAAATTATTTAGCAACTGGTTCAGTCCAAATCGCTCAATCAAGGCCATACCAGGAGTTCAGCGTGCATTATTAGTCTAGCATCAGTCAAATCATTAAGCTTTAAACACTGAGTGGACTTATGTTTCCAGTCTATCATTCTGCAGGTGGTGGAGGACATAAAGGAAAGGTTTTAATGATTGATTCGTTCATTATCAGGAAAATAAAAGTGACGCATAAAAACAGATGGCAGTAAGGATAAAATCATCAAGCAAAATCTTTCAAAATTAAAATAATAACATAGATTAAAAGCGAAAGTGACTAACTGACTAACAACATACTGGCAAATGCTTTTCCAACATGTAAATCTCGCAAATATCGATGGTTTTAGACACTTTCCTATTTCAGTTCTAAAGAAAAGCTGATGAAAAAGTTGAAAAAGGAGAGTGAAGGTTAAGGCTCTCCTGTAGTACACCCTTCACAGTAATAGAGTGGATTTATAACATAATGGTCAAAGAAATGTACTGATTTTAAAACCCCTGAGCAAACATTTCTGGGGACAATTTACTTTAATGGGGCATGCCCGCCACCGCAGAGGGCGTGCTGCTCTGGTGATCGCAGCTTTAATCAATACACCATTGAAAACACTTAGGGAGGGGGAGAGTTTATGTCAACGGGAGGATAGGGGCTGACAAAGCATAAAACAAAAGCAGAAATATCTGAGAAGAATTAGAGCATATTCAAATGTAGAAAGTGAACGTATAAGGAAGGGAGAATCTGTCCAATTCCTAATCTTAGAAGAGTAACAGTGAGGATGTTTTAGATGAAGGTAACTCTGATGAACTTTAAAAGGGAAGATGAAGCCTTTTCAAACCTACCAACTTCAATTGTTCCCAACCTGTCAGTGGGAGGGCACAGTTAGCATGGAACAGAAAAGAAAAGGACAACATTTGAAGATCAGCTGGCCTTTAGAGGACAGATGTTCTGCTGGACAGAGAACAATGAGAAAATAGGCCTTTTTAATGATTCCTCTTTCATTTGTTCAGCCTGTGGACTAATAAGTATAGACTGGTAGGAGGGGGTTGGGGTTAGCCATACTGAAAACATCTGCAAACCCACAAACATACTTACAAAAGACGATTTAACTTATGTTCTTGCATTTTATCACACTACAATAAAAAAAAATGTTTTACTAAGATTTGCTGTTACAGACCAACAAAAAGGATGGAAATAAAGGAAATAATATGAGGTGATGATAAAACAGGATAGATGGGTTAATTACAAATGAAAACTAAAAATCTTTTATAAGTTCTCTCCATTTCAGTGTTGTTAAATAATGCTGAAAAATTCAACAGAAAGTATTAAAAAGGGTCCACCTATGTGGAAGTTCTGTGCTTTGTCAGAGATCATTCCTGAACAAACATCATCATAAAGACCAAAGATCCGATGAGATGGTGCAGGAATAAAGAAGCAAAGATTTTTTAGGCAGGGTTAGCTTTAAAAAAACATCCCTCTATGATTTGGATAT